GCTCTTCCACACATTCCAGTCATGCCGCTGCAGGCAACATACAATACGAGAATATTTTCAATACTGGAAAAGGGCTATAGCTTCAATTTTTTCATCCTTTCGTAATAGTGCTCCATTTGTGGGCGAGCTGAACAGTCTTGGCAGAGCGGATAGGAAGTGGTTTTCCTGTTACGTGCAGGAATACGTGATCACCGACTCCTACGCGTCTCAGCTGATGTCTATGCAGCTTAGTATCTATTAGAGTGGCTTTGTCATACGCTGAAGCCTCCCACGCTACCCTAATCATGAGGAGACGACCTGAAATTAGCCGGTTACTGGAATCACTAGAGTTTGGGTGAGTCCTTTCTTACTAGCAAGCTGAAAGCTATTGGCATGGTGCAGCATATACGTCCCACTGCATGTAGGACTTTTGTTTTTCACTGGGTGCCTCACGATCTGTTTGGCGAATATCCAGCGCCCATTGACAGCCAATTTGTAGCCTCGCTTTGTTATACCTTATCCGTACAACTTGGTCTGGTGGGCTATACTCAGTAGCGTTGTTCTATCGAGCAACTCACACCCACCACCGTTAATTATAGACCTTTGGCGCGCATGTGTTTTTCCCCTCGTTTTTGCAATCCAGTCGTAATGAGCAGCAAGAACTTGAAGCTTCTGAAACGGATTCCGAAGAGAAATGCGGCTGGAACAGCTCTCCTATGCGGCCATATAGGCCTGTCGGTGGCCCGGTAATATCTTTGGTGGAGAATCTTTCCCCAGTAGGCATGAGAAGCGATAACATGCAAGCTGAATTTCGCACCACCCCTCTTTGAGAGCCGTAGTTGGCTTACAGCTGTTGAGCCGGTAAAGGCCAGATGATGTCAGAATGATCGATACCTTTGCCAATATGAGAAATAATGCAAATAAGCTTTAATATTACACAGAAAAGGTGGCGAATGCGAGGGAACTCTGCAGGATGGAGAGCCCAAAGTGGCGGAGCCAGAGTTACCAAGCTCAAGCAGTTTGGAAAATGTTAATGCAACTGTCTCTAGGTTTACGGCTGCTAGCTCTCTGGGTCTTTTTGATGCCCAAACACCCCGTACATCCGCAGCTGTTAGGGGCCGATGGACGCCCGAGTACGCAGTTATCAAAATGGCACTTATGCGGCAAAGTGCAGCCAAACCCAAGGTTTGTTTCTGCATTAAATCAGTAAAGTTGATGTTGTCAAGAGATGTGTTTCACGCAGCAACGCAAGCATGTGCCTCCACTCTTCCTGAACTTTCTAAACTACATTTAAACACCACCTTCATGATGCAAATAAACTCGTGTAGGTCTCAGCTGTGCGAAACTATTCAGGCCCGCGGGGGGCAGTCAACGTATCAGTACACAGAGGATAAAAAGGGGCCAAAACAGGAGAACCGGCTGGCAGCTACGGCGAGAGCTGCATGTGACGCGTTCAGCAAGGCATCCCAACTCTTCACCCCTGTCTCTGCCTACCCAAACAGAAAGGCTAAGCCCCAGCTCTGGGGTCCCTCTGTCGTTGCCAGCACGGAAGAAGCTGTGGCAAAATCTTCAGCTGCGTTTGCAGCATCAAGAGACTTTATAGCGTCAGTAGTCTCCGCGCAATTGCTCTAAGTTCAACTGCAGCTGTACTTCAGTGGCTTGCAGTTTCACCCATATAAACTTTACCGTACTTACAGTCAGCAAAGTGTAGTACCAAAAGAGCTGGCAAGAGACGCAGGCCAAGTAAGGACAAGTGCTTAATAGTATTCTACTGATTGAAGCAGATTCGTCCTGTCTTGCAGGGCAAGAAAGCGTTCAAATGCACTTCCGAGGTCGCGACTGCTTGTTTCACCTACAGCCCCAGTTGAAGCATCTACCATCCCCAAAAGTTCGCAAGTCACTGTGGGGCGCTGCACTGAAACTTTCGAAAGAAAGGAGGCCACGTCTTCAACAAACCAGCAGTGCACTGTTGTGGCTAGAAAAGGTGCTGCGAACATGTCAAATTGTGGCAACGGTTGCGTGTGCAGCCAAAAATTCTCAAATTTAGCAAGCGGTCTCCCAAGTGTTTTTATCACTGTCCCATCGACTCCTGCTGTGGTGTTGGAGGCTAATTCCTGCACCCGCCTCACGCCTGACCAGCGTCAGTCTCACAGTTTCCCTTGTCCACCTGGCACAGCAGGGAGCCACGTAGATAGAGTTTCCTTCTCAGAGAACGCAGCAAAAAACAGCTTGCTTTCCATTGAGCCGGAAAAGGCAACGTCTATAGCCGTGAATTCATCTCTGAGCGAAGAAAAACAGAGTACTCAGACCTCTGAAAACACCTTTGCGACAAGAAGCCGCGCATCTCCTATTCCTCAGAAGACCCGGTCGCCTCCCTTTACATGCCTCAGTGGACGATCTTTTTCCGCTAAGGATATAGCCACAACTCAGGGCCTCTTTCATCGGATAATTGTACAGAGAGGACAACGCAGGTGTCATTCATGCAGTAGTGGCAAGAAATTCTCTGGAGGCCACCAAGCTAAATGCCTCTGTGGGGCGCGCGCGAGCCGGGCGGCTTCGGCAGAATGCGGGTCCTCCAAAATCCCCGGAACCTTCTCTACTAGGACAAAACACGGCAAACCGTCATTCACAGAGTGTCAAAGCTGTGGCCGCAGAATTTCGAGAGCTGGCCACGGATTTGTTCAGCAGGTCCCGGTCAAAGTGGTCTGCACAAGATGCCAGGTAGATAAGGCTGAAGAGCCGTGAGTGGGCAGATGCCGTACCTTTTGAGTGTAGTGGGCATGCGCTGTCGCCAGTTGTTCGGTTTCCAGCATCGCGATTGTGGGCTAACCAAGTCTCAGTGAACCAGTTGAGCAAGCGAACACCCACATATGCTGACGCAAATGTTGCGGTGCCCTGTATTCATGCTCACCTTCCAGTTTGCTCACTTAGTGCTACAAGTCAACGTTCTGCGTTTGTCCTTCTATGAAAGGGATACACCGAAAGCTGTACACTCCGTGCATTTTGCGGGAGAACGTGTGTGCCGCCAGATATTCTCTGCCGCAAACGAGTTCCAGCTGTACAGGGGCAAACCATTCTTCTGGCTCCAATGACTTAACTATCCCTCCTTCAGCGTCACACCAGAAGCCGTTAACGGTCCCTAAACCTAAGCCATGCATCAAGCAAATGCTACGCACTGAGATTCCCAGGCAAGCTAAAGCGGTCCTCAAGTGCCTACACGTAGCAAACTTGCTTCAACATAAGTCAAAAGTTAGATGGAACCCTCTAATCGTCCTTGGTGCTTTGATTCAGGCTGAAGCTTGCTGCACTTACCAACAGAACAGCATCTTCTTGCGTGAGCAGTACCAGACGATTGCCAACCTTACAGGAGTTTATTGAGGAACGGCGGCACCTCAGAGAGGTTGCCACTGAAACTGCAGGAGGCAAGCAGCTACTGACGGGACGGGGTAGTATAACTCATGAACCTACCAAACGCTGCTATTGTAACTGTACCTGAAGAAATCAAGGGCTGCAGTGGAGCTTACATAGAGCGCTATGTAAGAGATGATGAAAGGCCAGAAGAGCAGCCTACAAATAGTCTCACGCCATAAACAGTTGCCGTCTTTGTTGCTTTTGCTTTGGCAGCCAATGCCGGCCCGACTCCTGCTTCTCAGAGCACGGAAAATCCCGAGAGTCAGGAAACAAGTGGCAATATTGTGAACACTCCTACTACACCTCAGCAAGCTTCTGCAAAACTGGAAACACTGCTCATTGAAGCAGACGAAGCATTTTGGACCTCGAGAAAGCTGCCACATATGGCTGGTTGGTCTTCCAATAAAGCACCAAGACCGATGTCCGGTGGGAGAAGCCGCCGGTCCACGGTAAGCAGGCGGTCCTGGACAAATGAACGAACTGCAGGCCTCCAGCAAGCGACTTGCAGAGGTACTCTTACGCCAGAATTCCTCCAGGCGCAGCTTCAGCAGATGGCTGCCAGGAACGCTGCCCAAAGAGCCCCCGTTTCAGCGGATGATGCGAGTCAACTAGTTGCCACTGATCAGGCTAGGAAACTACGTAAGACTTAACTTGTGGGGCAGTACATTTTTGGACAGCCCTTATTGGAGCATAGTTGCTCTGGCGTGGTTTGCGTCGTCACCCAGGGTCTCTTAGGTCTCTGCCTACGTCACGTTGAGCAGCCCGCATGCGAGTTCCCGTGCACTCGTCTACGAATGTGTGAGTTCCATGTTCCCCTTACGCGTAATTTTTGAAGGTCAGGCGAATCTCTCGTCGCGGCGGTGTGCTTGGGGAAAGCCTCAAGTTTTAGGCACAGCCCGGGCCGCGAATGAGACAGAAAAGGCAATGAAGCGAATTAGGGTAAAAATGCTTCTGCTATTTGACTAACTATACATCTGCCGCACTCACTCTGCTGCAAATTGTAAAACGTAACAGGTGGGGAGGGCAACTCTGTTTCGTCACTGAAACACCTGAAAATAAGTGAAGTGTGGTCTTGCAGGAATGCCTGCGGGCTCGCAGCGAAGTGAAGGAAAAGGCAAAACGTAACCTCAGTGATTTATTGGACACCAGGGTAGGTGATATAATAGTAGGATTTCAGATTCAAGCCATAACTACGCGGTTGCCGCTTATCCCAGAGCCTTGTCGCCGCAGCTGAATCGAACGATAGAGCCACTGCTTTTTGTTCCCCTTGTGCAGACACTGCGTAGCTTTTTTGACCCGGGCACCAGACTCCGCCTAGTGCAGCATATGAGAAGAAGTTGGACGCACCAAGAGATGTTTGTGGTCGATGCATTGAGGGTGATATATGCACGTGGCATGACGTATTTGCTGGAAGCGCAAGGAAAAAGAGTGGCGCCTCTTCCCCTATTCTTGCGTTGAATTAGCCATTTTAATTATATGGCATGTTCGCAGCTGGGTAGACCAAATGCCCAATTAATGATCAAAGTGGTAGCCTCTCTGCCTCCGGATGTATTCGGTCCGCATAGCATGTATTTCTGATGCAGGGAGCAGAATCCTGCAGAAAGGCGGATATGGCTGACTTTATAGAAGCGTGGTACTCAGATCTGATGGCCACCGTCGCTGCGGGACTTGGTCATGTCGCAGAAAGGGCCAGCGGGACTGAAAACAAACTGCAAGCGAATCCAGTGCAAAAGCTTCTAGAGACAATGCGGAGGGATCTACAGTATGGTCTGCGCTACCAGGAGCTAGTAGATTACGTTTGTAACCTCACCGAAAACGAAGTGGAAACACTCATGTCTCAGGTGAGGGATTGGAAAGTTGGTGTTGACAGGAACATATCGTGTCAAAGCACCAAACGATCACTTTCAGATGTGCTCGCAAGGACTTGTCACTATAGAGCCCCCCACAACATCTTGGTGTTCGTACTTTCAAATATTCAGGTGCTCATCAAAAGCAGTCTCGTGTTCGAAGACCCCCTCGAGGAGCTGCACACACTTTTGCGCTGCTTGAAAAGCAAGTTCGGTCGAGTGCCGCCTGCGCTTCAAACTCAACTTGTGCGGGCGCTGTTGGTTCGTCCCGAGAAAGGACGTGAACTGTCAGCCCCTTATAAGCAAAGTTAGTATGCCCTCAAAAGTTCCAGGGCAGTTAACCTCCATCTCAGTATGAATCCAGGTCTATCGTCCAAAGGCGGAGCCACTCTAGTAGAGTTGCTTTCAAAGGATGCGCTTTCCAGAAACAGCTTGTGTAAATATTTTAGAAAGGTCTCGTTTGTACGGAGAACTATCTTTGTGAATAAAACCATGCTACTGGATGCCCAAGTTGCGCATTCATCTCGGCTAAATGCACGCAAGGTGAGCAACACCCTCGCCACTGAATAATTTTGCGTGGACTAACAACAACAAAGCTTTGGAGACTTCAGCAAAGTGAGGCATCCGAGGATTTGAGTTAGTAAGCAGGAACCAGCGTCTCGTTGGTAAACTCTGGATGGAGTGGTGTTTATTCTAAGCGGTTGAATCAATTTCATACTTTGAAAATTGTCACCACCATATAAGCCACCTACATGAAGTAGAACTGGGTTCAGGATGAGATGCATGCTTCGTGCCGTTTACGGATAGGGCGCACTCTCAATAAACATTGTGAACAGCAACTTCCAATTATTCCGCTAGTTTTTGGTAATAATTCAGTCCGTCCTACGTTGGGCGCGCAAATGACAATTTGTAGAGTGAAATAGGGAATCGAAGGCTCGTATACTTGCCGTCAACTCCACGTAGGCTTCTGCATGTGGAACCACAAAGTCCATAATCCCTGAGCCTTTTTTGGCAATGAATCCACTGCTTGGTGCACTAAGGGCAAAGGTTGAAGCACAGAAAATATTAAAACAGAAATGCAGAAGAAGAGAGCAGGGATAAAGTTGTGGCGGCAGGCTGTCTACTTAAGCACAGGTTGCCTTTGTCGGGTCATGGTACATTAGCAGCTTCGGTACCACCTGTTGCTAACGATTGTTGCAATTTTTGCTTTTACAGCATTACCTTGACATGAAATCTTGCCAAATTCGCACTGACGGTAGACTAGCGCAGCAGGTTTCACCTCTTGGAGTGAAGCATATACATATCCGCAGTAGTACTTTGAGGGGTTTTGTGACTTCGAGTCTGCTACCCGAATCCACCAATCGGGTGTGTCTTTTATAGTTTCAAGTAAATAATCTCGTCACCCTTGGCGAACAGCACAGCTTTGTTAGCGTCAGCTAGGCAATTGACGGGAATTGCTCAATTGAGACAGCCTGCTACTTCGCTTCCATAGGTTTACGTATAGGCGCACATACGCATTTGTGGCAATCGTACAAGCCTTCGATTCCACATTGCATGCCCAATGTAGGACTTGGTGAAGACATCTAGAATGAATAAAAATAACTGAAGTCCAGATGCCAGCTGGTGCGTTGTGGCAGCAGCACTTGAACGCTTTTAGACCAGCTATGGCTCTCTGTCGCCGAACGCTCATTCAAAATTCTCGAATTTAGGCTGAGTAGCACGGATCTCGGCCCATAGTTCACTTGCGGGAAAATTCCTGTCGCGTCTTGTGGGATTTGATCTTACTTGCTGCATTTGACCGTCTTCCGCACTGCCATGGTCTACTTAATAAGTGTGTAGCAGAGCCTAATGCTTTGCATTCGTGTTGCTGTGCGGAAAGCCAATTATTGCATATGGGGCTGCGCAGCAGCTGCTGAGAAGCGGAGCAGAAATCTTGATTTTATCTTGAAAGAATAACCAGGCTGTTATAATCCTGAAGTGACCTCCTGTTCTTGCCGAGGGAAATCTTATGGACAAGAACCACTGAGATAGTGTGGAAGACTGAAACGCTTGACTAGGCTAAAATACTATGAGCAATGTGGCAGCGTGCCTAGTTTCTGAAGTCAAAAGTTAGAGACGGGCCCGCGAGGGAATCACAAACAAGGTTGGCGGCAGCTCCAACTAGAGCATTCAGAAGTAGCGGCCTGTAGGATGTAGTGGCTCCCTCAGCACTCTTTTGAACCTTGCCACTAGCTTCTTTTGCTCATTTTACTGCGAATACTCAAAAATTAGTCAATTGAGAAGGCATGAGGGACACGAGGAAAAAAGTACATTTTCTCTTATTGCTTTTCACGCAATGGACTCTTGCATTTGAAGACAGAGAGGATTATCCCCCGATGCCGAACCGACCCGAGGAAGTTTCTTTACTGCCATGTAAACGCGCTCGTGTTCGTCTTGAATGCCCATCTACGATTCTTTTTGCATTAAGCGCACTGCGTAACGAGACTGTTACTGAGCTTGCAAAGTGTCTTTCGCCGCGATGAAAAAATGTGAAACAGCAAGACTACAGCAACGATTACCAGCGGCACAGCTAAATGTAAGAACCTCCTCTCTTCGAGGTAAATATTGTTGCACAGCAGTAGCTTGATGTTCTTTCTATGTATGCATAGGCCTGCCACGCGCCATCGTTGACGTGTGGCCTCTGTCCTAGTAAGTAAGGCCATACCATCATATCTACCGCAAGGCATACCCACGGAACTTGATATATGCATAGCCTGATAACAAAGATCTCGCTATTCAATATGTGCAGCGGTTCTACCCAACAGGACACCAGAGCCTCATTTCAGTTACTCCATAATATTTAATGCCAACTGACGTTCTAACTAAGCCAAAAAATTCGGAGAGAAAAGCTTGGAGTGGCTCGTAAGTCTCATGGGTGATCCGCGCACAGGAGCTGGCTGCCGTGCAACATATCTCGAGCTAGTATCACCAGAGGCAGTGAGTAGGTGGAGGTGTCGGATTTACCTAGAGTGAGCATTGTTCCCTCCCTTGTCATGCTGAAAATTCCAATTTTTGCAGTGTACTTCGCATTTTTAGCAAATAGAGTGTGTGTTTTAGTCCGCATTTTCTCTCGTTTTAGCTGAAAGCGCCAAGGAGGCGATTTGTGCCGCCGAACCCAAAAGCCACCAGCCCCCAAGACCCACCTCCTAGAGCTATGGGTGGTAGTGTGGGCCCTTTGCAAATTTTAGTGCTGCACATGAAATTTTGTTTGTCGATGAAATGACCTTGTAGGCTTCATGTTGAGGTTCTTTGGCTTGAATACGCGTCAGCTCAGCATCCTTTTTTCAATCTGGCCCCTACCAGGCGGCAGGCAGCCGTCATAACCTTCTACTCAATCTTGGCCAGCAGAGCCCAAGAGTACGCGACATCATTGTAGCGTTTTTGTGGCCGCATGGTCCAAGCGCCTGTGGCTTCTGAACCCAGTGGCAGGCGTCGCTACTGGCCCGGCCGCCAGTTTGTAGGGTGATATCCTGAGCATCCAGGGTCTTCATGCCACTTGGATTTTCGAAAACAGCGAGACGTTCCCGAAAAGAAGGGGGCCGAAAACTCCATGTATACCATGATGTGAGAGCGGGCTAGGGCCTAGCACTGGCTCTTTCGTTTCTGCCGCCCACATGGGCGATCCCCCGTGACCTGATGGCTGCTAGCGTCCTAGGCACTCAGCCAAGCTTCCAGTCGCGTCTCTAAATCTGCTGCGGCCTGCCTTGCCGCATTTGTGTACCCTGCAGTCTTTAGACCTCTCAACAGAAGAGGCTGCAGGGACACTACATCATCAGCGGCGAGGAGAGGACAACAATGTGTCCTGGGCGGGAAGCTTCGTTAGAAAGAGGAGCTCTCTGCGAAATTCGTAGGGAATTTCGCTCTCTGCCTTCGGTTTCCGAGAGCACAGAGGCAGACGAAAACTTTCCTGATCACCAGAGCCAGTCTATGGCGCTTTCCTTGAAAGGCACACTGCCACAGCCATGCGCCGGAGCCAGTCCAGCGGATACAGGCTTCGCAAGCCGAAAATTTCTTGGTGGAGGCTGGACCTTGTATACGAATGATGGAAGCACAAATCAGAGCAACTGCGGAAGCAACGGAGTTCACGTTGTATCTGAAACGCTGCCTTTGCCGGACAGCGATTTGACCAGCGCCAACAAAGAGGGGCGCTGCTCTACCAACCGCAAGCGCAGCCCAGCTACAGCAGGTGTTGTTCTTAATACGTCTTCAAAGCCCTCTACTCCGGTGCTACTTTCCGATGAGGATGAGAGCGACGATGGAGTCGCCGTTTATATTGACGAGGGAGAATACGACCACACCAGTGATGGTCTACTTATCACCGAGTATCGTGTAAGCTCTCGAAAATCTAAGGAGATCCGCATGTTCAAATCCAAGTGGATAGCGCAGATGCTTGCGAAGAAAGACCAGCTCCTGAGACTTTCCCCTGCAAAAAAGTCGGCACGGAAATCCGCAAGCAACACTGAGACAAGCGGGCACGCATCTGAGGTCGTGTCCCAGTCAGGCAGCGGCATTGAGTTTTTGGAGAGTAAGCTGAAAGCTTTCGCCGCTTGCATGGTTCCAGAGACGTTGGAGTGCATCAACCGCTACAGAACACGGTGGGCACATGCCCCAAGCGACAACTCAGACTCTGACACGGCACAGAGCACCAGCAGTGCTTCACGAGGGGATAGACGTCGACGTCGAGCGAAGAACTCAACCTTCTTAACTTCAGTAGGAAGGCAGCATCCTTGTCCAGCGAATCTGCAGCACCCTCCTGGTGCACTGCGACGAGGACAGATTTCACATCCCAAGGATTGCCAGCTGAGTCTCGGATTGTCAGCGAGTGCTGCACTGCAATCATGGGGTCGTTTTCTTAAGTATATCAGGGAGACATGCAAATGCTTGCCACCACGACCAAGGATTGAATTAAAAGCTGGTCTCCAGAGCGACGATGACGATGAGCAGGCTCCGCTTTATATGTGCCGTCCGGGATCTGTTCAGCGGCCCTCGCCGCTCATCAGCTACAGCCTAACAGAGCACCTCAGGGCCTCTCGCACAATGTTTTTCAAGCAGTTCAATAGGCGACGCCTAGTTGCGTTCAACGGGAACTCTTCAGGGAGTGCTGTAGCAGAGCAGCCGCCGGCGGGTGAATCGCCTGGTGGCGGCGCCGCATCAGCTTCCGTAGCTGCGCAAGTGCCTCCAGGAAACGATTCTGGGATTTGTACGAAAGTATGCCAAGAAGGCGCCGTTGACTCAACAGCATCACAGACCACAGATGCAGTCCCTTTGTATGATATCACTGCCGAGACATCGACGAAGTTCGGCGACATGATGCGTCTCGAGGACACTGCACGCATGCTCAACGCCTCGTGTACATTCCGCCTGGCAGCAGCTCCTGCTTCTGTTGTTCGCCTAAGAAAGTGGGGGCCGAAGACGCCTGCTGCCACGAGGTCCTGTAGCAGTGCCCCTGGCTGCCCTATGGGTAATGTGCACTCCTCTTCGGACACGGCTGTGCCAGCCGTCTCCGCAGCACCGACTAAGCAGAAACGGAGTGGATATGTGACTGAGCACACCAACCCGCACGCGTCAACAGCTGATGCGTCAAGTCAGAGCGTCGAGGGCAGTCGCACCGGTAAGCGCCTGCGAAAATATTCAGTTCAGGGAGTTTCCGACTCGTCAAGTTCATGTGCGGGTCAGCTTCAGCGGCAGATGAGCTTGTCGGAAGCTGAAGTCAAACAGGGAAGCAAATCAGACGTCGTGTATACAGTCCATGCAGATGAAGACACCCTAGCGCTTAGCGGCTTGGATTCAGAGTACTGTGCGCGCGTAGAGTTCGCGTCTCGAGAGCCAAATCGGGCTGCGTCTTTCGTGACACACATAGACCCGTTGCAGCTAAACGGCAGCACCTTGCAAGAAACTCCGACAGCCTCTGCCGGGCCTCAAAAAAGGAGGCGCAAGGAGAATGTGCTGTTGAGTGATGATGAGGGCTCGTGTGTAGAGTGCACGCCTGTGTTCGAGGCAGCACGGGGCGCAGCGTGTTCTGCAGAGGCGGCAGAAGAGCTAGGCCACCAGCGCTCACTAATGGCTGACAAGCTCATGCTAGCCCACCTCATGCCCTACCTTCCGCAGTGTGGTCCGTAATAGGAGTGCAGATTTAGCGGTCCGAAATCTTGCTTGGACGAGCTGCACTAAACTGAACCGTCTTCTCCTCTAGAGGATGAGCAACTGGAAGCACAGTTCGTCTGGTTGTAACGATTTAATCTTGCTCAGTGCGATCACGCAAGACCCAGGGAAGCTCCAAGTGAACTCTGTCTGCAGGTGCACGGGGTGATGTGAGGCCCTGCTGTAATTACTTGTGTCAGATTTCGTGGAGGCATTTTCGCCCGAAATAGATCAGTAGAAAGTAGCTCCCTGAACACCGAAACATAAGGCTTGTTTAGGGGCTAATAGCACTGAGCTGTGCATCAGACAGCAAGCACAGCCGGCACACTATTTCCCCAGTAGAGGACGCTTGCCTGCCTCGCAAGCATCTTCAGGCCACGGAAACGATAGGCGACCTGGCGAACGGCTCTTCCAGGTTGCCTGCGTTGCTCTAGGTTGACGCTTTCGCGTACTGCGCGTCTTCAGGGGGCGGTTCGTACATGCAGTGGGTGACTTGTAGATGAGAGGCACTCAGCGGAGTACTGCGTCATCCAGCACAGTTGGCACGGCACTGTCGCCTCTAAAGGGCGGTCAGCATGGATTTACCTGTGTCCTCTGACGCGCCTGCTTTCGCGCTGCAGATGGAGCAGCAGGTACGGTGATGTCCGTGCCGCTGCTGTCAAGACGTACCTGGCCAACGTTACAACGGCTGCCGTGGGCCGGAGGTTTAATCTTATGCACTGCAGTTTAGTTGCTCTTTTTCAAGGAAAAGCGCAAATGTGAGCTCCCTTCACTCTGGTGTTTGCGCCAATTTTCCGTTCTTCATCCAGCAGGATTCGGCATTAAAACACTAAGTAAAGGTGCTTTCATTAAGCTACACACTGAGATGAGCTCTGAAACTTCAACCGACAAGTTTTACTCCCTTCTGATAAAGCTCATCTGCAGCCACTGCGCTTAGCTACAGTAATAAACGTACGTGTGGTGGAACCTAAAATTGTAAATCCCTATGAATCCATACAACCATAATACAGAGTTCACACCCAACCTTTTGGCTGTGATTTTTTATATTTGCAGTTGGAAAAAACGAACATAATTTTACACTTCTTTTTCGTAAATGCTGACTATTTAGGGTCGTTCTGAAGTGTCTAACTTTCTTGCGTTGCTTGTCGCCTTAAAGTTGGTTGGCGGCACACAAATTGCCGTCACCTGCAACCCCTTGGTAGCATGCTCGTGCTGCCCATCATGACAACACTGCATCCAAAAGCCAAATACACACAAAAATTTCACAAGTACCTTCACTCCCGCAGTTTGAGCACAATCCTACAAATGAAGCGCCATACTCGTGTGATAGGATGTCCATCCCCTTCATTAGGCAAGATTTTCATCTAGCAAAGCTTTCCGTGATTGCTATCACTTACTCTCGCCATCGACAGTCTATTGTGCTTGTCTACATTGAGGCTATGTAGCCGCGAATGATGCTTTAAAGCCATTTGGTAACCAGACGTATGGCATCATACAGCACCCTGCAATGAGACTACAACACCACTCACTAGGGGGAGCTAGTGAGTGACGTCCTCCATCTTGGCATTCTGAAGCATAATTGGGCGGCGGTGATGCTGACAGTATCCAGAGAAGTTATGACAAGATACGGAAGTCTTCTATTGGGTTGCAGCTTCGCATTTATTGTAGACGCCCTGCATGGCGTATCGTGTTGGAGCAATGCCGGCAGCTGGTGTGCATTAGGGAGTAGAGACATGCTACGAAGTTTTGCAAGGACAAAATAGTGTGGCTACCAACAATTCAGGCCTCCTTAAATAAAAGCGGTAAATTTACGTGTTTTGAGGTAAGTTGGCACTCTTGGTTATAACGAAAACTGACGAAAACTGACAGAGATATTTCATGCGCAAGTTCCGCGGATGCATGGTGAGCCCGCTCGCGCGTCATTCCTCGCGAGCTTGATTAAAGTTGACACTGGCAGCAAAAGCCGAAGTATTCAGGAGGTTAATACATCTCCAGACAGGGCAACTTTTCGGCTACGTAGAGATTACTCTGGGTAGCCCATCAGAGGTAGAGGTTGAGGATCAGCCGGCTAACGCCGGCTCAGACGAGGGGTCTATCGATGCATTGTGCCGAGCACAGGTTACGTGAGCAGGTGACAGGCTTATGCCCATGCATATGTCGTCTTACAGGTCCCTGCGCTGCCTTCAGCCATTAGTTCATTGCCCCATTGTGCAATGGACTGTGGCGCAAAGCCACACCGCAAAGCCAAAGACCCTTTAAATGGGAGGCTGTAGGAAGGCAGCATTTTTGAAAGTCCCTGCTCAAAGCAGGTAGTATTTGTCCACTGTATTATTGAAACATTTGCATCAAACGCAGCTCCTTGTGAAGACACGGTGCAGCTGCATCCAGCATAGGTTGTAGCTTCAATGCTTCTAGCTGCACTCGCGCCTTCAACAGTGATGTACTTTTAGGCACCGTTAGCCCCATAAGAAATTATTCCATGCCTTCAGCACAAAAAGTAAAAATGGTTTGACCCTTGTGTATTCGCCCACGTTTCAGCACTGCGGTGCCCTGCTCAGCCAATAGTTCTAGCCCCAGCCCTGTTATATCGAATTCTACTAGCGAAAATTGGAGGAATGCTGCACAGGAATCACGAGTACCTCTGAACTCTATAAGTGTTGTCTGTCTGCTAGCAGCTCTGTACTAAAGAGTTGCATAGCAGCTCTGTACTAAAGAGTTGCACCCGCTGAAATTCCCTGCTTCGCGCCATGGAGCAATAATGTTTGATTATTTTCGAACTTCACAGAACCGATGTGAGGGCGCTGATTTTCACGGCAAGGCCAGCAAGAAGCCAGAAGCTCGACATCATAGCGGCCCTTGAAGCGCAGGGTTGTCTTCCTGCAGAGGTATCCAAAAATGCCAAACCATTCTGCGTATCGCCACATGGTGCCTACATTCGAGAGATCTTCCCTGCGATTCTTGAGTATCAATGCCGCGGACAGAACTCTAGCACTAAGATCCATGTCCATCCAACATCGCTTGCTTCTGGTGGGCAAAGTTGAGCCTAACCTCAAGCACCTGGTTCTGCGACGCCAATAGTGCTGTTGGCTATTTTCCTGTGCGTCCTAACCAAGGCGCCGTTGGCCCATCATGAACAATTATAAGGGCAGCCTGTATATTGAATAGGTATACATCAAAGTTATATGAAATTGATTGCGGCTTCAGCTCCATGAGAGGGTTTCAGGTCGCTGGCGCCGAAGCGCACTTGACACGCTATTATCTTAATGGAGGTCACTTGTTAGAGTTAGTGGGTTCAGAAACCACCTGTGTAAAAAACAAGCTACACAAAGGCACACATTTCTCACCATCCAACGAAGTTGTAGGAAAAGAAGACCGCCGCTTTGGGGGCACCCCATGGAGACTGCGTCGATTGCAACCTGTCCAATTCAGCGTTTCCGGAGCCTGACTCAGAGGCGACGCTTCAACATGAATTTTAAGCTCGGACCATAGTAAACGATCATGAATTCATCGAGTGGCTCGCAACTTTGTCCCTAACCATGCCAAAGAGTGTGAGGCCGAGCCGACCCCAGCATCCGACTCATAAGTTGCTTGGGGAAGGGAGTTAGTTTATTTTGTATTGCACATTTGTACTATTTAACAGCACCTTATATAAGAAATACCTCGAATTGGTAGAAGCATGAACGAACACGCACTTTATGCAGCTCTCGATGGCCCCATTCATTGCCGTGCATGCCCACCGCAACGGAAATGCCTCAGTTTCACGTATAGTTGCGAAGGGTTGTCTATAGTTAGTACATACTGTTAAAGGCGGAAGATATGAGTAGTTCTTCACTTTACAGGATTATCATGAGCCGTGCGATGGCGTTAAAATTTCATGTTTTGTGTGTCGATTTGAGCCGATGTGGTATATAACTGGTGGAACTACAGAGCTGAAATCACCTGGCGAGTGACATGATATCTTCTCTGATTCTCGCATCTTTCGTTTTATAATTCTGTAGCCACTCCAGCTTGTTTTAGACGCTTGGCCCCTGGGACAGCATGAGCGCACGAGGCGGGGCGAGCTGGAGCAGTACATACAGCAAACAATATGGCAAAGACCGCTGGAGTAACTTGCTTCAAGCTCTTTCTGAAGCTCCCAATCAACTGGCTTTTGTTGCCCCAAACATATCCCACAGCGCGCTTCGTTACCTTTTGAGGAAACAGCGGCTCGTTCCGTGCATAATCCCCAACTGCCTCACCTGCTCAGATAATGCACCGCTTAAGGAGAATAACGTAGTTAACACGAATACAGCAGCCACAGTTTGTGGGTCTGGAACAACGGCAGCGCCTACTGACTGCAACGTCAGTGATGGGCCCTTTTCAGTCCCGTCCCAGCCTAAAGCTGAGGCCAGCAGCTGCCCCGCACTACATGGAAACAACACTGAAAGCGTAGCCGTTGTCGATGACGACCACGTAATAGAGGAGGCGAGGACCAAAACGTACTTCCTGGGTAAGTTTTTTCTGTACCTCGGCAGCTCTGTGTATATATTTTATCTCTCTTGGAAACAATCGCCCACGGGTGGAGTCCTCTGTCCGTGCATGCTTTGGTTTATCCATGTGCTGGTGTCCATACACTTCCTCAGACGGTGCTTCGGCTCTCGCTGCCTTTGTCCTTGAAGCGCGCCCTGGAGAGGTCGTGCTTGACACGTGCGCAGTAAGTAACACCTGGCTTGTAGTGGAGTAAGCGCATACTGTAAATTTCATTTTGGAGAGGTGATGCATTTATATGGAAATATTTGCCAGTCAAAATTGTAAACATTAAGCCAAGGACGCATGTGTTTAAGTGCGCACTGTACTTATTCGTAGGCACCAGGCGGTAAATCCTTGATTATTTCGAGCATGATGTCACAAGCAAAGCTTCCATCTTACATCATCGGGAGCAACAGTATGTCATATGAGATCGACGGCATTGACAACGATGACGAAGCAGGGGGACTGTTGGTATGTAACGATGCTAGCCGAGACCGACTGTCGCGGTAAGCTGCTTTGGCATTCATACAGGTGATCACAAACACGCCTCTAACGGTGACCGTTGTGCCGCTGCATAGCCAGAGTGTGGAGTGAGGGGCTTTCCGTATATTTTTTTCAGGTTGCAGGCAACACTTAAAAAGTTCCTTCCACCGTATGCCACTGCAGGGTGAGCCGCCTGCGTTGTAGCGTAGGGCCGTTTCAGATATTTGCGCGCCCACATTATAACCGAGCTTGAGTGTAAGAATAGAGTTCTTGAGGTGCAACCGATTAATGTGCACAGGCAACGGCTACAGTTTAGCTGTGCAGATGTTTGCAAGGGTGGTGCATTTGGTAAGATAAACGCGTTAGGCCCAGTCCCACCACTACTTAAGTTATGGAAATAGTACTTCTTTTTCCCTTTAAGGAAGCAATAGGCATTCGGTGAATGCATGCGGGCTGGAATCTCCCAGAGAATTTTGGGTTGACTATGGTTGAGCCTTCAGAACGCTTCGCACCGTACGACAGGATTCTGCTAGACGCCCCTTGTTCGTCTGATAGACATCTCCTCCGCAAGGGAGGATCCGCAGTTGCCAAGTGGTCGCAGGGTGAGAGTTGCTGCAAGTTTATGCGTGGAGGACGTACCGACACCCTAAACTAACTAGCACTTAATCTCAGTGGCTTCTGTGGTCATCACTATCTGTGGGAAGTCTGCTTGCGCTACAGTGAAGCGTATGTCATGCAGTGCGGTTCCACAGGCACTCCAAAGGCCCACGCAGAAAGGCAACTTAAAATGCTACTTATTGCGTCGAAGCTTTTGAAGAAAAATGGCATTCTTTTGTATACAACATGTTCGCTGTCTGAACTTGAGAATGATGGCGTAAGTGCAAAGCACTTAACATCGAGCCCGAGCGACGTCACCGTAGAAGCAAGCAGAGGTGGCACATAGGATTGTTTGTGGCTCAGGTCTTAGAGTCGAATGCTAGCACATATACATGGTTTGCAATATGTTTTGACCAGAAGGTTGGAGCGGCACATGAAGACAACGGATCACAGGCACCCCGTAGCTGCATAGAGGCCAGGCCACTCGTGTTCAGGCACTGAGTCGAGCCTAATGCTTCTCGGGCCTTGAATGCCTTTCAGGTCATTGACAAATTTCTGAAGAAGGCAAAAGGGAACGTGAAGACGCTGCCACTATTTGATGGGGAATGGCCTCCGGAAGTCAGACTAGAGGGCTCTCCAGCGAATCAAGACGAGACGACGCATGAAAATGCAGGACGGGAAAGTGGCTCTGCATTATTTTCAATCGAGAAGCTTAAGCACGGTTATGCTATGCTTCCTGACGTGTCAAGATTCGGGCCCATGTACTTCTGCAGGATGCAGATCCTGGGGCACTGACTGCTTTTAACTACTTTGAACAAGCTGCTCAGCTGCACAGTAAGTGCAGCGTGAGCGAGCACTATGGCTGATACAATGAACTATCGTTCATAAATGTTTTTGGGCTGCTTGCAGATCCGCATGATTAGTTATTCGATTAACTCATGAATACCTTCTCACATGGAACTACCAGAACAGGCTACGCGAAGGTTCGGGAGCCGTTTATACAAATTCAAGCTTCTCGAAAAAAACGGAAAAATAGGAATACTGCAGACTTCCTTGAAAGAGTTAATATCTGCTCGTTTGCTGCTGACCCAAATGCGTGTAGGAGGTGTACTGTTGTTACAAATGCTTATCAACTGGCACCCCCAGGAGTCACTGCTTGAAACCCGTATTTTACTGTCAGTGGGCGAGGTTCTGGCTCCTGAAAGCAGATATACAAGCTGCAGAAGCAATAGCTAGGTGCCGCAGCGGTTACTGAACTGTTGAGGTTTTGTGATACATGCAAGGAGGCCTACGTAGTGCATTTGCTCGCCCTAATGAAATATGGCAGCCTGAGCTGGCTTACATGCAATTCGTGGCCAGATTCCTTTAGCCGCTGAATCCGAATATCCCCGAGCTGCTGACGCAGCGTAGATTCATCTACATCTAAACCCTTCGTCTTGCAGAATACTGCGACTGCCTTCAACATTGCGGCGTCGTAGTCGCTGCACTCTTTTTCAACCTGTATGCGGACATTTGCGTACTTTCGCCACCGGAATTTTGCTGGTTTGGCGCTTTAGCTCAGAAATGCTGCGTTGGCTGTTGGGGCACTTGAATATTAGGCATACATGTTACGCTAATGTGCTGCCTTCATCCTGGTGATGCCGTCACAGCTTTGCACTCATGACAAACTCGACAGATGCAGGATAGCTCACCCGCTGTGCAATTTCACCCATCATTATTCCAAAATGCTTCCTTTCTCGCTCGAGCTGTTCCTTCATAGCCTGGTGGCTGAGCCTATAGCACTGTATTCTCTTCTCTGCCTCCTGAGGAGTCCACGAGCCACGCAGTGATAGAAAGATGTAGAAACGCGCAAAATGCACCACTGGAATTTCAGTATTTAAGATACAGACGCCTAGAGATTCGGGTAAAACATACCCGGACAACAAGAGCATCAAATTGTTGGCGTTTGCTTATCATTGCCTTTTCAAGGTTTGCACTGCACAAAAACATGAAATCGCACTTCGGACTCTTGTTTGTTCATGTAGCTCCTGTGTTTTCTGCTGATAGCGTGGATCTGCAAAGCAAAGTAATCTCACTGGCAAGGCGACTCACCACTTAGTCCGGAGCTCCTCGCGCTCATTTTGCGCTGCTTTATGGGCTTCCTGCGCCAACTGGCGGTATTCTTCGAGAGCCTTCTGGATGCGCATGTTCGCAAATGCCTCGTCCAAGACGATATGTTATAGGTGTCTTAAAGCTTCTTCTCTAACTTGCACTCGGTTACTGCATGAAGCACGCACCTTTGTTCTTTCCTTCAAATCTTTTTCAAAGTTTCTGCATGCTGTCTCTGCGAGTTCGCGGGCCTTTATTCGCTCGGTTTGGACTTTTTGACGCTCCTGACGCGCTGTTTCGACAGCCTCTGTTGCAAGGTTTCTGTACTTGCGTATGATGAAATCAACCTGTTGTACTAGCGTTTGTTTCAAATCGCGCTTTTCCTTTTGGATTCCGTTCCGAATGAGCTTGAGCTGTCTCTCGTACTGCATGCGCATCTCCGCGTTCCTTGCGCGCTCTTGTTCCAGCAAATATTGCAGCTCTTCAGCTGTGCGTGTAGCCTGAAGATGACATCACCGAAATATGAAATAAGAAGCTGGCGCAGGTTTCTGTGCAGCCCTTTTCTAGGCATGGGAAACTTAGGGAATATACTCTCTTTCTCACCTTCGTGAGTTGTTCATGGCTTGGCTCAAGCCACCTGCAGCGAAACGCACAATGGCAATGAAAGAGCCGGCCACTTAAAGAACAAGAACCGTCGTATTCTAGCTAGCTAAACTTCTGCCATGAGCTGGAAAAAATAGATGAAGTTCCTCTCACGTGGGTCCAGGTTGCTGATAACGACCCCCCTCATAGGGAAAGGTCAGATGCTCAGTTCGGGCATCTGCTAGTTGCTGCAAATTAAGACAAAAAACGAGATTTCGCGGGAGCTTTTAACAGGAGAAGCAGCATGCAGTGGATCATGCATACTGGTAGCTAGGGGATCATGTGAGAGCATTCAGATCCGCTCACACTACGCACTTACCGCGTATGCTTCATCAAGTTGGGCTCTCAAGAGCTCTCTAGAGTCTTCTTCGCTAGCTATGCGTGCCGTTAGCGTCTGCACTAGTTGAGTCAGCTGTTCGAGCTGTACAGCCGTATACGCAAACACACAGACAGGGCAACACAATGAGACACAAGGGCGCTGAGCTTCGCTTCAGCTCCATAGGATTTTTAGACCGCTTACTTGTTCCTCTACTGTGTTGACGCCCAAGCCAAGGTCGGCCGGTGATGTGTCGTCTTGGCTTTCCTGAGCCATTGGGGCCTTCACAGACTGCGGGTCTCCCGAAGGCCCTAAATGCCTGGACAAACCGAGGTTTTTTGACATCTTCCATATAATGTGATAGCTAGAAGGATAGTATTGGTCGTTCTTCAACCATCGTTAAGTGGTCCTCCCCTGCAGGGGCAACCGTGCACTGCCTCCGGAGCTCACTTGCATTCGGCTGTATGGAGGGAAGACAATAAGCTGAGATATGTTTGTTTATGTTAGTATTTTGAAGAGTATGACAATTATGGAGCAATCGCAAGCTAAGGAGATCTCGATCTGAGTCCACAGACCCACTGGCGCCTTAAGGCTACAAGCACAAACACTGAAATGACGCTTCGGATTTTTGCGTTGTCTACAGTAAGGCGAGATGCGACTCGCGTTTGAATACCAAACTGTTCTTTCTCGGATTGCATATGTGGTGTAAACTGATAGCGCAAAACTTATTTTCTGTGGTCAAGAGGGCGCAGCGCAAGACCACTGCCGCTGGGGGTGATCGCAGGCCAGCGGGCCCAGTGACCGTTGGCACCCTTGCTGCAGTCTCTAAGAAATCTTGTCCCAGTTTGACTCTTTTCTCCTTTTAAATTTAAATAATTTAAATTTTAGACGCTTGTTTCTGGGACCACCCTTCCAGACAGCCTGCGGAGCCTTCCCCTCAGCGAATTCGCTCAGCAGTGTTCAGCAGCTTTCCCACGGGTAGACCAAGTGGAAACATAGATGTAATTAGCTTTATTGTTTTAAATTAATCTATAGGAGCTTTTTGAAATTGCTTGTGCTTTCATCTGGCGATGGAGGACGTCAATTTTGGAACAGACTAGCGGCAGTTGACACGGGCTCGCGTTGCATCTCCTCATTAACAGCCCCTTAAAGGGCAGAAACAAGGGTTTCTTCCCTATGTAGATGAGTAGACATGCCATTTCTTTTGATCTCGAGCACAAGCGAGGACCGGGTCAAAAGGTGTATGCTGGGGCCGGCTGGACGTGAATCCAGACACCATCCGACATGCTAACCATCTACACATGTACTCCTTTACGCCCAGGATGAGCACAGGGAAAAACGAAAACTTGGGAGCTCGAGTGCGTCCTCCCGTCTTGGCGGTCCCTGTTCGTGAGGTTTCTCCTTCCCGTTACTCTTCAGGAAATGCAGGGGACGGCGGTGAGCTGAAACGGGAGTCCGGAAGGACTGTGAGCTCAGCCGCTCGAGTCCAACGGCATTTACCGTCGGGGACAGAAACGCCAACGTCCCCTGCTTTCATGAAGCTGCTGTCACAGCGTTCGCCCAAGACTCCCCAATCTCTGCGCTCTCGGAGCCCTAGCGTGATGTCCCAGCTCTCCGGCAGACGCAGAGTCAGCAGTCCAACCATAGCTGCTTGTGCTTGGCTAAGATCTTCTTCCGATACCGCGTCACAGTCGCAGGCTTCGCTTGCCCACGCCAACGGTGACAGTGAGAGGTGTTTCCAGAGCCGAGAGCAAAACGGGACGTCTTCCCAAGAGTATGCCATTCTCACTCGCTCTCGTGAAACGTGTATCAGGCGAAAGTCTCGTGAGGATCACGACGAGTTGGAAGAGAAAAGAGGACAGTCCAGCAGCTGGCAACGCCACAGGAGCCACAAGCCCAGCCATAAGAGCTCGAAAAGAAAAGAAGGGGCTATGCTAGTCCCGAGGGAAAAGAGTACAAGTGAAGTTCCCAGCAGTGGCTTTAGGCCTCCCCCGCGACAACTGATATCACCTCGCCGGCTTCCACCGCCAACTTTTGAGAAAATCTTGCTAGGTTTGGTGGATGCGGACTTCGCATCCACTACTGGCGATGCGGATGTGTTCGGGGCTGAGCGCGCGAAGGAGACCTTTACTGAGAGACAGCAAGAGGACGATTGCACATCTGTATCTGTATCTGCTGACCCTCCCGAAATTGTCATAGGTACGCCTCATACATAATTGACTGACAGCCGCCGTAAGAAAACCAAGTGACGGATCACAGCTGCGAGACACGGATATAAAACATGCGCGCTTGCCTGATGCTCCGGTTCGAAGTAATACTCTACTAGGCGGGTTCGCATTTTCCTTTGGTTGAAAATTCGGCATGATGTTTACAGCATAAGAGATCTGAGCTTGCGGAGGGAAAGGCGTGGGACTGTTTTTGCGCAATGCCTTCTACTTGAGCGTGTTTCGCAGACCCAGCGCCAATCTCATCCTCCTCTACTCCTTGCTCTACATTTCGACAGCCGCTAGAGAAGAAAGTAGAAAGTCAGAAGGACGGACTTATTCCTGAGCATTTTCTTTACATTCCTCCTTTGCGTCTTTGTGCGTCCTCTGCGGAAGGGGGCAGGCCGGTGCCAGCCCTTAGGAAATCCTCAGAAGACGAAAGCCAGGTTTCCGTTAGGTCGGGCATCACCTCGACTGGCTTCTTATTCGCCTTAGTTTCCTGCTCCGCCTCACTGTTAGGAACGCTTTTGTTGCTGCGTACTTGTAGATAGTCAATAGCACCGTTTTTCCCGAGTCCTTTTGCCTCATTTTTTCTCAGAGGCTTATCTTTTGAAAATGGTCTCAAAGTGTGGTTGTGCGCCCTTGTCATTATAGGGAAGATCGCCGACACATAGCGACGCTGTTTTCATTGGAAGCAGCAGAGTCAATAGCTCAGAAAACACGGCTTCAGGAGCAGCTGAAGGCAACAAGCCCTTTCCGCTTGGCAGAACTGGGGTGTAGTTCATCTTCGTCTCAAAGCGAAGGGATAGAGATAAGTGCTCCACCTGGAAAGTCGAAGCGCCGCCAGAGGTCCACTCTGTTGGAAAACATTGTGCGTGAGCATGACTGGGAAGACCAAGAACAATTACTGGAGGACAACATCCACATTTATGCAGACCAACAGGGGGCGGGAGAGGACGCAAGCGAGTCCGAGTCACCGCCGCCCCTAATAGAAGACAACAAGGAATGGGAAGCCTTTGCCAGTGATGGAGACCTGAAGGGTGAAGCAACTGTTGTAGTACCTGCAGGCACAGGTAGCCCTCATACCATTGACAAGGAAAGTCCTAAAAGCCTCGAAGCCGAGAGACCAGGCCTTAATTCAAGCAAAAGATCTGGGGAACATGGGACTGAAGATATTCCAGGATCTTTTGATGCTGTCTGGGGACGCTCGGATCGTTCTGCTCAGAGTCAAACTGGTGCTCCAAGCAAGGACAGCCAATCTGATGATGAGAACGATCACCGCGAGCTATACAGCGCAGATAGCGACGACCAGAAAATAAGACGAATGGCAGATTTCTTGGGCATCTCTCCGCTCCATTCAATCGACAGAGATGGAATGAATGAAGGTACTAGCCGGATAGCTTTTGCCGAAGACGCTTCAATATCTTCGTCAAGTGAAAGAGGAAATGCGCAAGATGATTTATCCCCTGCACTATCCCCAGAACGCCTAGAAGTAGATGGAATCTATGAAGGGGTCACGATGCTCCGACTGGGAGATCCGACGGAGTGGGAAGTGCGTTTCTCAACCGATGACTGCTGCTCAAACAGCCCCTGCGAGTCCCCTTTTAACAACAAGGAGCCAGCATTATTGTCAACACCAGAAGCTGATGGTGAGCTGTATAAAGAATATGCAGGGAATGAGCCTGCGGAACTCAAAGAAGTAGAACAAGCGGAAGAACGCAAGCATTACACGCAGGGTGTTGAGCCGTCAGGCCAGTTGCCTGAAGTGCCGCCAAGCCTCGCAGGTCCCTTATCCCAAGAGAGGAATACCCCGTCGGACCAGTCAAGGATGAATAGCTATAGCAGCGCTCAGTTGGTATACATAAACACAAGTGACAAATCCAGACCGCCTGCAGAATCCGGCGCTGTAGCTGTGCGCGTCACTAGTGAGCTTCATCATGGTGCTGCCCTGGCCGTAGACACTCGTCTCAATTCCCTTCAGTCAGTCAAAAGCGACGACTTGCAGACAAGTTTGCCCGTAACGCGACGGTGTCTGTCACTGGCACTGCAAGGCCAGAAAGTGGTACGTATTGTTCTTAGTAAATCTTCTTGACTTGCAACCTCACTCACCCTTAGGCAATTCTTCCTAGGAGCACCTACCTTGCTTTCAGTGTCATATGATTTGCTGTTGAGATACTTCTTTTGTTTGAGTCTCGCTCCTATGTTTCCCATTCTTGGATTATCTACTAAGGAATCGCATATTCAGAAGGCACGGCCAGTACTTTTCAAGTTTCGCGGGCATACAAAATTTAAGAGATCGAGGAAAGCTAATTTGCCTGTTTGCTTTTCATGTTTCTTCTTTCAGAACTTCCAAAAGCAGCAGGGAATCCTAGAGAAGGACATCACCGTGACGCCTGCTGAGTCTGCAACTGGGAGCGATTCGACCGCTGGAGAATGGGCCGACCGAACAGCAAACCCGGGCCACGGCAGCGCAAGTAGCAACTTCCTTGGCGAAAGTGAATACGTTGTTTTTGAGGAGTCTCAGGACGAGAAACTACCTCCGAAGGTGCAACGGCTCCGTGTGACCACACGAGCAGAACCTCATCTCGTTGTTTCAGCTAAAGAAGTGCCAGGGGCTAGGCTAAGGCGGCCGTCACAATGTGACAAACTTCACACTACCGAAGACTCTGTTGAAGCAGATGCCTGGCAGGAGTCAAGCACGATGCCGGCCCATGAGACTGCGGCCGATGAGGTCGACGGTCTGCAGACAAGTCGTCAAACCAGCGGCTCCCTCTGTGAAGTTGATTTGTCTGAACCCTCCAAAGCATGCAGTAGTTCAGTCTCTTCCTTGCAAAACCCAGATCCGATGCCAAATCGTTCCGTGGAATCTATAGAAGCTGTCAACCGCGCTATTGTTGGGTAAGCCGTACAGCAGGCTGATGGTGTTTCCCTCATGTGCGTAGGATTTTCTCTCTGGGATTGACACGTTTGCCAGCGGCATTGTATGTGATTGTACCTACTGGAGGCTTTAGTATCGCACGACATTGAACACGTAGGTGTGCGCTTTTATATGGCTTTGCAGATACGCCTTCGGCCGCAGGCTACATGTTCTCATAGTTGCTTGCTTGCTTTTGGCGGTTTTGGCTCTGGTGGTGGTGATATACCTGTTCGATGGAGAGAGAGGTCCCCGTTTCTTCGTCGGCTTTGCCGTAGCTCTTTCATTCATTCTTTCTCTATGTGTTGGAGCCATCCAACTGACGGCGTCTCTCTTAAAATGGAGAGCCCTAAAGTATTCCGTAGATCTAGACCTCCGCCAGTGCATCTTCTCTGCGGTGAGCTCAGCCGACAATAGGCCGACAGGAAACAGCTTGGGCAGCATTTCACACGTTGGTAGCTTTAGACGTCAAACAACGAAGTGTCTCTCCCTGAGCATCGTAAATTTTCGTAAGTATGTGCCGTCTCGCGCCAAATGTACGCAGCTACAACGATTACGGCCTGAATCAGACGCTCGAGACCCATCAGTTGAAGGTTTGGAGGAGCGTGGAAGGCTCCTGCGGCTTGTGTGCAGTTCGTTTGTTGGTAAGCCTAGACATGGCTGACTAAAAGGGTCCTGCAAAAGCTCCTTTGAAACCTCAGTAGGGGAGTTCGGAGATCCTGCAGGGGAGGCGAGCTAATGCAAGCCCTGCAATCTCAATGCGGGGCCTATCAGACATTTTGCTGGTCCAAGTATTTTCGGTGTACCGTCGGGTTATGAAGACTTCCTTTGTTTGGCGTGTCTTTGTCTTGCAGACCTGGTCACACAAGGCTCTCCTTCTCTGGGCATGAGCAGCAGTCTGGAAAAGCGCTTTATTTTGGCAAACTCACTTGCTGGCCTTGTTGCTGCGGGATTTATCGCTGGCCTTGTATGTGGCGTCCGTACAGAGGAGAGTTATACACGTATTGGTTTTCGGGTTGGAGGTAAGGCAAACTACTCGGTTGGCATTTTGGTTGACTACTCCCACATGCAGATGCAGCGTACAACTTCTGGCACATTGTAGATAAGCCTGTAAGTGTTGCACGAGCACTCTCATATGACATTGCTGAGGGACACCATGCATATTGAGAATTTCTGGCCGCATTGAGCATCTGTGTCGAGTAATTTTTTTGTCAAATCGACAAATATAGGCAAGCTGTCTGTTTGTTCATTCTCCCTGCATAATGGCTGTCATGTGGACTTATTTTCAGATGCCGTTGCAGTAACGGCAGCAGCTCTATATGCCCTTTCGCTACTTGCAGTGTCGTATTGGTTGGCAACTCCTCCAACTTCAGCAGCCCTGAGGAGCACAGTTGATAAACACGCTGCCTTTCAGTACCTTTGGACCCTAACATTCGTTGACTTCCTCCTTGGCAGAAGAGTGGTTGCTTCGAGGGCAAGTGTTCTGCAATTGTTCACTCTAGCGTTCGCTCGATTAGAAGTAGCTGTTTGTACGAACTAAGTGGCGCTGCACATGCTGATAGTTGCTACCGCAACTAACCACACCTCTGAGCTTAGAGGAAGTGAAAGATGATTTGAATGCTTGCAGTTCAGTAGAAGAGTAAATCGGAAGCGCAATAAGGCAACACCAATAACGTGCACATCACTAATTAATGCGTGGCAAATTCAAAATTCAAAGCGCTTTCTGCCGTGTGATGCTTTCAGTCTGCGGAGGACATTCGGTTGCTCCCCATGGATAAGGGTCATTCTTTGCATTTTTTTTCGTCTTTGAAGCGTCTTTCGCACAGACAAGATCTGTGCCTGACAGCCATGAGCACTCGTGGGCTTCCAGCATTTCTGAGAAGCGACCTCATGACTGCAAAAATCGTGTGGCAATTCCCCAATGGCGTCTCCCTTCAACGGTTTAAAGGCTTCCGGACGGGTCAGCGAGCATTGCTGGCGCTGACAACTACACCGAAAGCAGTAAATCACTCACGAGTGACGTCCCCCAGAACTGTTTACCTAAACTTGATTTGGTGCGGCTGTCGCGCTGTTCCTGAGGAGATCTGCATTCCCATCAGCTTTGACCACGCATGCTACGAATCTGTCGATGCCTGGAGTGTGCTAACCAAGTTAGAATCCAACTTGTGGGAGCAACAAAGTGCACCAGGTTTCGTTTCGGACCAACAAAGACCACAAGATGTCCTATGTACAATTCTCACAATGCTCCAGGAGGACTTGACGGGCTCATTTCTTAAGAGCCAGATGCGCCGCTATCTCAGCGAGCCAGAAACGCCATCATCCGCATCTCGTGAATACCCTCTTGTTCTTAAAATTCCTTTGAGCGTATTGAGCGCTGAGAGATGGTGGCATTGCGGCCCTAGTCGTCTGAGAAATGCGGGCTCGGCTATTTCTTGCTGTCCTCTGGTGTGTGGAGGTGGAAAGAGTTTCAAAGGGTCCGATATGGAGAAAGCACTCGCGCCTAATGCGAAGCAAGAGGAAGAATGCGCTTTGCCAGAGCCGAAATCCATGGAAAGCAAAGCATCAGTGATACTGGGGCCCTGGAAGGTGCAAAGTCAATCTCTTCGCTCCCAGTCGCCGCTGCGAGCCGTGCAACTGCAAAAAGTTACAACCCAATGCCTAGAAATGTTTGGCGAGGAAAGTGATTCTCACTGTGCGGCCAAGTCATCCGTCCGTAGCAGCGATGCTGGAGCACCTTTAGAGTGCGCATCTCTCTGGCTGTTGTTTACATCCGAAGATCAGCGCGAGGCGTTCATGCTATGTGTACAGAAGGCTCTTTCAACCTGCCAAACTGAGGGTTAATAGAATGAAGGTGGCTCCTCTTTCGGCATTAGGACTTAACGAAGACGCTGGAACCAGCAGCAGGCCGTAGCGTCTGTGTGTACGGGCGTACCAACTTTCTCTCAAGCTACCTCTCGAAGGCCCCAAATTAATGGCCCCAGACTACCATGCTTAAACTATCAATCAAAGTGTCATGCCGTTAGGCGGCATCACTAAAAGGCAAATCCTATTGGTAAAACGTACAGAGCACTGTTTGCACTTCCCTCTTTGTACTGCACACCAATAGGAGGGAACCTCGGGAATTCGTTTTATGCTTTTGTCGCTAACAGTAGCATCCCTCTACAACGCTGTAAACATTAATCCACTTCAAATAAGGAGGGCTTCAGTTTGTGTGCCGTCACGTTGCATATTGTGCACCGCAAGACGATACAGTGCGTGTGCCGGGCCGCTGAAATGACGAATATGTTTACATTTTCTAGCTTTTCACGAGTTTGTTCTCGTTTTCTAGACGCTAAACGGCAGCAATGTCCCCACTACCTCCCACTTAAGGTCCTCCACTGTGCGGCGGAAGATCTAAAACGAGAGGCCGCAGTACACTGAAGGCGCTGGGCGGTTTTGGAGTGGGCATTGCATATCAGCTACCGCAACCCTCCATATTGTAGCTATCGATCGCTGCGGCGCTGCAGCAGCAGCACAACAGCAAGGGAAACAAGCCGCGTGTACGCTTGCTCACAACGAGGCACAGCTGGGCATACGTCCTCGAAGGCCGCCGCGTCAGACATTACACCGCTAGTGCTGCCCCTGTTGGGGATACTGAGCGTTGTAGTAGCCACTCGGCGACGTCGTCTGGCCGTAATTCGAAAAGGAGTCCCTATATGGAACCTGAGGGTGCATAAACTGAGGATAAACCTCGCTAGGCATGGCCTGAGCACAAAAGCAAGAAGTCACCAACTCTTCACCGCAAACCAATGCAAGATGCCACGCAACAGCGTACTGCACAGCTCAGCTTGACAAATTATCTTGAAGTCTAAGCACCTCTAGGGACAGTCTACCACTTGTTGAATCTGTCTATCTCCTACACCTTACCGCGCCGTGGGCTATATCTCCTTGCGCTTGTGGATGCGGGGGAGACGGAGTAAACGGGTAGACATTCTGCTGCATTAGAGGAGCCATTATGGTGGAGTCAAAGCTACCCTGTGTGTACACAACAACAACGCCCCATCAATCCTTTCTTCCTCTAGATTACTTGAGACAAACCTCAGCCGACGCAACATATCCTAGTCACCAGTGTCCGTGTGCTAACGTGTACGCACGTACGAGGTAGCAGAATTAGCTTCAAGAGATATATCATTGGACCAAACAGGCTGCAGAGTAAAAATAAGTGCTATGCGACTGTCTTGTTCATCGTGCATGCAAGCAACTCACTGCCACCATCTCCTCCTCGGCTTCTGCAGGCACCGTCGAGGGGCGGTGCTGTTGGCTTCTCGCACTTCCTCCTTTTCGGTGCCAAAACGTAAATAGAATCAATAACGTGGGGACCCACTCTGTCAAGAAGTAAATCTGGTATGAAACAGAGACAGCACCATTGCAAGCACTAATGATCCCACGGACAACTTTCAGTCAACAATGATATCGGCCGTCACACAGTGCACACTATTCACGCCACCGCACTTTTCGTGCATGCTGCCGCACCTGTCCAGCTAGTAACTGAGAAGACGCGATTCCTTCCGGTAAAGTGTGCAGAGGATGCAGAGGCGGTGTGGCACCTTTAAATGCCATGAAACTCCGCAGGCCGAACAGCACCGGGCAAACCATGGACAAGAAGATAACCTGAACACGGACACAAAAAATACAACGTAGGCCGTGGGTGCGCGGGCTCTCGTGCACATTCTCTTTACGTGCACCGGTGTGCAGCATTAGCAGATGCAAACGCCCATCCTATCTCATCACAAAGAAAGTCTTCAATCACGCTTTCTGGTAGATCTAGCATAACGAACATCAATACTGGCTGAGTCTTTGACACCCTGTACAAACAGAGTCAATACTAGGGGAAAAGCGCAGCTAAAGCAGCGCAATCTCTACAGAACGTGTAGCCCGTACTCGTCTGACGATGCTGCTCTTTCTTGGGGCAGATTTCCCTCTCTCCGAAACCTTTTTCGCCACCTGCGCGCCACCACCACGAAAGCAGAAATACCGAGATGTCTTGCTCCTCTATCCTGCTCTATTAATTGGTGCCAAGTGGCATATAAGACTTCTTCGGACGAAGGATCGTCTACTCTGCGCGCTGAACAGAGATCAGCGCTGCACACGGCGTGCTTGCCTTGATCCCATAAAAGAGGAAAGCGATGGCTTCCGTCCCGAACAGCAGCGCTTCTAGTCCTTGCAGGAAGGCGCAAGCAGCTCTCTTGGCTTGGAGCAGCACCGCGACAGAAACACAGAAAGCGTAAGACACAAATAGCACCACAGAAAGAACCGAGTGCATTCGCCTGCAATAAAACAGCCAAACAAACACATCTTTGGCGTCAGTAAGTGGCACAAACAAGATTTATTTTCTTGCATATTTGCTTCGAAATATACGGACAAAATTGGACTAGTCGGTTTCCGCGGCACAGCTGATTCCTAAAGTCGAATCCGACTCACGAGAACAGGGGGTAGGCCACAAGGTTAGCTGCGTAGTAAATTCTCGCCCAGAAGAGAATAACGAGAGAAACAGCACTACAGAAGATGAGCGAAGGTATCGAATCAAGCAGATAGACAATCCATTCTTCATCAAGCGAAAAGTTGAATGCCGGGGGCGGAGCCTCTCCACTGTCGGCTGCATTGTGCTGCGGCGTCTCGGGCACCTCTTTGTGCTGCGGAGCCAAAAGCAGCTCTGCAGTCTGAAGCTGCACTCTTCGGCACAGAAAAGCAGTCCCAAACAAGGCTACCGCCCGACCTGAAGCGCATTACCAAACAGCCACGCCGCAGTAGACAACGCAGTGCACAACGCGAACATGCCAAAAGGGAGTACAATTGTGTAACATATAGCGTAATTGAACAACTCCACGACCCTCCTAATCAGTAACAGCGCGAAATCATGAAATGAACCAAGTCACAAACACAGTGCAAGGGAAAAGGCACCGGACTAGCAAAGATGAGCTAAATACCGTAGGTGGAATTGCGTGCTAAGGGTAAAACGCACACAGTGAAGACGCGAAGAGCAAAGAAATGAAGGAAAAACGCGTCTGTCCGCCGCTTAGACTAATGCGTGACAGTGGCGCTGGGCTGTTCTCGCCAGAGACATCCCCCGCCGGAAACGAAGGCTGGTTCTTTAAGGACGAATGCATCTTAAGCAGCTGCCGCAGCGTCAAGCCGCCTAGCAGCACAAATAACAGCCCCTCCCCCTCCATAAATAGGCACGGGGAGCCCGCAATATCAATTGCCATATTGAAAAGAGGAAGTGGTCTACTCCGGCCCACACGCCCTTCAGGATCTTGAATCCCCAACGCGGAAGTTCCGCGTTCGTCTAAAACGCTTTTGAAGGTGTTCAGGGCTCCAATTGCCGGCGTGCGTTCTGGGAGACGGAAAAGCGGGACAAATGAAGGGGTAAAATAACAGAAACAATCCCTCCTGGTCTGCAACGATTACGGGGGAAGTGGCCCATATGTTGCGCTTCTATTGTTGCGAAAAATGGTACACAAGAAAACCTCCGCAAGCCCATTCGTCCATCAGCGAAAGTCTGCTACAAAATGGGAATCGGCTTGCCGTTAGCTCCTGCATATGACTAGAACCCACCATCACATGCCGCGCGCATGCACACTGGTGTTGCTGCGCTAAGCAGTAAACGTGAGTTAGTTCGAGGGTAAGAAGCAGAGTGGCGGTCTGAAGACAGCTGAAAGTGCCGCTGGCTCGGCAAGCAACGGCCTAGGCTTTCCTTCTGCCCACGGCGGCTGCGCATCCCGGGAAGAGGAAAGGTGCAGGTCCAGCGAAATCGCCGGAACAGCACGCCCCTAGCAATAGCGAAAACAAACAAAGGGATACAACAAACGAAGGTGGAGAGTCTTGGTGAGATATGTAGAATGGCCCGCCGCGCAGCAGAAGCAAACGCAGTCACCGAGGCTCATGTGTGCATTTACAGAGGTGTTAAACCAAAGAGGATATATGCTTTCTGTTTAACATCAAATTAAAGCCCTGTGAGCTGAAGCGATTCATCGTTCGTAAGTTAAAGCACAGCAGCCTACATGCTGCTGCATGCGACCAAAGGGAAGCCTTAGCAGAAGCCAGAAGCATGCACCCAAGTTATTTACAGCCACGCTTTGCGTCGTGCTCAGTGCACGCTAGAAACGGATTGACAATTGATAAAACACAATTAATCTTTCAGAAAAGAGCAAATTTGCATGAACGGCCGCATAGCAGCCCAACAGCAGCAGCACACAGGTGCTTTCTCAGATCCAAGGTGTTCTACCGGCACAGATCTTCCGTACATTTTCCCACTGGGTGACCCCCGACATCTGCATTTAGGAGGAATTACAATTTTCGCCCTAAACCGCTTTGAATAGGCCCCTCCATACAGCCCGGAGACGCTATCGGAAGTTCCAGAACAGCGTGCCTGAGTGACACGCCCAGCGTGAAGCAGTCAACCTTAGCCGTTTGTGGGCCAGATGAATCAAAGACTTGTCACAATAAACCATTTGGTTCTATTTAACAAGCACAAGCCTGTCCACAACTGCTTTTTTGGGTGAAAACCCAACAAGGGCTCCCCAGTGCCCTTGCCATGTGTAGAAATGCCTGTTCGAGAGGAGCGGCCTACGTGCCTGTTCGAGAGGAGCGGCCTACGCAGTCAACGACTGTTGTTAGGACTTCAGAAGGAGAAGAATCTCAATAGCTGGAAAGAGACGGGTCGCCAATGTAATTGCATATACCCAAGAAGGTGTAACTAAGAATTGATTGCTTGAATGTATCCTTGTTTGTGGCTGATTCTGCTTCAGCTGCAGTCTCACAGCAGAAGGTTATAAGCTTTTCTAGTTGTGTCACACTTCGCTGAAGGTGAAATATTATTCTCAAATTCCAGGCCTTTTTTGCCACTATTTTTAATCGGCGTGTTGCAAGTTATGCGTGAGTTTTCGCAGCATTGTTCAGTTTCGTTGCAATTCTTGAAGATGCCACAGTCAACACAGCACCAACTTTGTTCACAAACTACATAAAGACAAATCGAAACTTGGGATTACGCCTCTACTCAAAGAGCACTCAGCATAGACACTCTTTGCTGTCGACACAAATTGCCAAGCATTACTGGGAATGCCAGTACAATGCTTCGGCAGGAGTCCTGGTCTTGTCTACAGTGGCACAGTGCAGCCTTCTCCTGCAGTGGAATTCTTTTGGCCCATCTACTGTGTGGACTGCATAACAATTATGTTTCGTATAACATTTTCGACGGTTGCTGTAATTGCTCGCGAGCAAGAAGCACTTCTTGGTAACTCTTCTAGGTTGCGGATTTCAAAGCGAGTTGACGATCATTAGCTCAGTGCCGTGACTCCGTGGGTTGAGTTTCTTGATTCTTTATGTGGCAGTCCATCTTGAGTCTATCTGCAGGTTGAGAAGTGCTGCTGCTGCTGCTACTGCCGCTATGCAGCCTGCTGCTGGTGACAGGCTCCACAACATGTGTCAAACATAGGCGCCCAGCGTTAATGTTGCAAGTTGAACCTGGGGAGCTCCATGTCAATGAAAGTCAAAGCGCAGAATGTATTTTTGCATTAGGAAGGCCTCAAGTCTTTCCTCTGGCTCACGGAAACGCTTATTTTCCCGAAGGCCAGGCTTCTGACGATGAGTGAGAGGAGTCGAACTACTTTCGCGGTCCCGCTGGGAATTTCTTTCGCTAAACATAAATGTTTTCATAGATCCACGCTTATGAATGTCCGTCCATATTATATTTGTGTTGTCAATGGGAACTTAGAAGCCAAAAATAGTACGAAGTTATTTTTTCCTGCGCAACTTCAGAGTGTGTCGTCATGTCTGGCGGTCCGCAGCACAATCAATCGCTGACTACTGTAGAAACTCAGGACAAATAAAAAGCTAAATAAGAATTAATTAAAAATTTCTGGATGAATTTCAAGGCATGACAAGTTTGTTGGACACACTTCGAGTGCAGTCGACTTCGGTCCATCACTGCAACGACTACCCCTGCCATAGAACCTGATTCGCCGTTTTACTTAAGTGCACAGCCACTGTCTTAGAGCTGCCGTAACATTATATAAAAGCAACATTTCTCTTTTTAACACAATATTTACATTTAGAGGAAAACATCCGTATTTTTAAAAGTAATTTAGAGGCCACCACTTGCTGTGGCGAGCGGCATCCAATCGTCGCTTTTTCATATCGACTTGCTGTTAATTTCTCATCTAATGAGAAATTAACTACCGATCACTGCATTTTCCCTCAATCTTTACAAAAACGTGTTGTAGAACAACTTTTGCGGCCATTTACTTCTTATACTGCTCGCATTCTCGTACATGCACTTCCCATTGCTCAGCCACAGCACACCGGAACAAAGCAGGCTACTGAAAGTTCCTAAAGGCCTACTCATTTAGGTATCTTAAAAAAATGGATAGTCAACGACAACATTCAGTGTCAATTCAATGTAGCTGAGCTTACATTCATACAAAACTTCCCCGATTTGAAGACACTCCGAGTCGCCAGTGTCTGCCTCGACCACAGACGGGCAAACTTTCATTGTCTCACCACTTCATATCACTGAGCCAGTTCATAAAGACTTAATCAAAGATGAAGGAGGCAAACAATTGCGAATGGCAGATGTGGGACGTCTCCTTGACAGCTAACGAATTGGAGCGCATGCTATTGAGTCTAAAAAATCCACCATCCCTGCAAGAAGAAACGGAGGACGCCAAAGACATGAAGAATAACTCTATTTCTCCGTCAGAAGAATGGAGCCATGGATGCCAACATGTGGCCCTCGTGAATGTCGATTTGACAGCGGAATCTCTGCAGCAAATTGTGTGCGCCTTTTCTCGGCTTGTTCTCCCTTTGCTTTACGCCTTTCCCGGTGGCATTCTGTTTGTTGTGCGCTATACACTAGACAAGCCAATATATACTTATATATGTTTTCCCGCTGTTCGTGCTCCTGCTTACAAAGTGTTTATTTGTAGGCTCTCTGCCTTCTCCATGTGCTGTTACATGGAGCATTCAGCGACAAATGGATTGAGACGCACGCTGCTGAAAAGGTACTTTCTGTTTGTCTCGACGATAATGCGCTGGGAGAGAAAGCGGCAGGAGCTGTCTGCAAATTTGTGGCGAACGCGCCGCTCTTACGGGCAAGGAACTTCGGCCTTACACCACAACCCCATGTGCTCTGCATGCATGAGTGGTTGAATAAGTTTGTTGCAAGGTTAATTAAAACTTTATTCGTGTGCCAATTGAAAATTGAAATACCTAGGGTGGTGGCACATCCCAGCACTGAAAGATTGCACAGGCTCAACGCCACCCCCTAAACTATTTGCGGCCCACAGCCACAGGTCTTCCTTCATTTAAATGTTTTAATTTCCAGTGCGCAAACTGTGCTCTCCATAAAAACTGAATTAAAACTCTTATCACGCAAACCAAAGCCTACTGCGTGTAAATCAACGAGGAGAAGGCGTGCCACTGGGGGCGTGTTTTCCACGCAATCGGGGTCTAAAATAAATAAGTGTATAAGAGTATTAAATTTCCACTTTTATTTTCGGTTCTGCATCTCTTTTCTCCCTCAGGAACTGTCGCTGCAGAACGTCGGCATGACAGACGCCTTCCTCTCGCGCCTGATTGGCCGTTGCGCCCAACTGGAGAAGAACAGGAAGCCACTTAAGGCGAGCGAGCAGAAGAGCATTAACTCAGTTTGTTGCACTGCAGCAAACTGTGCAGCGCGAGCTGCATCTGCTGCTGAAGCGTGGAGGCCAGGCAGCCAGCAGACTGCCAGCTTTCATAAGCATTATGGCGAGATTAGCTGAAGGAAGCAGAAGTGCTGGGGCTTTCAAGTTATGCGAGCTGTGGCTGTGCTGCGTTCAGATTGACGCAAGAAACAACGGGCTGCTGACTTACAGAGCTTCCCTCTCTCTCAGTGCTGGCAAACGCTTCTTGCCAGAAAGCTTGACCATCCTTACGGATCTGCTGCCAGCTGCCAGCCACAATTCGCTGTCTTGATGGATGCAGCAGCAGCAGCAAACAACAGAGGCTCGGCTGAGAGTGCAAAGACAAGAGAACGCGAAAAACAAAATGAACCACTCCGTTGGTTCCATAACTTCTTCCGCTTATATCCTTTATTCCATTGCTTGCTGTTCAATGGACAGCAAAACTTGTTACAGTTGTGACTGCACTTTGCTGCTACTGAGTTTCAGCAAGAACTAGAGGGCACAGGAAAAGGCTGTAGTTCAGAACATTGTTGCAAAACATTTATTTGATAGTAAATAATCCTTTCAAACAGTAATGGAGCCACATTCTTTGCTTATAGCACCAGCATCAACGCAATTCTTGCAAAAAGCCTCAAGCAAGTGGGAAACAGACGAACAAACACGCCCTTCCACGGAAAAAGGGACTTACTCCCCACTTAGTTTTTTTTCCCGTATTACGCAAATGTGCCTAGGTATATAAGAAATGCTTGCATGTGTAAAGCGCTGCTGCATTCTGAAACATATATTCCTACTACACGCCGCTGGAGAAGGCAGAGAAGTGGCATTGCCTGCGATTTCTGCGGGTGCTGAGCCAAAGAGTGGAACTCTTGAAATGAACATTGAATTAGCTCATTTGAATGATCTACTTGAAGTGGAGCTCATTTATATTTATATAGTAAATCAACTCAGCCGCAGCACGGTGACAGTGGCGTCGAGACGGGGCGGCGAAAGCGCCTCTAAAGAATGCACTCAGTACACACATGCACAAAAACCTACGAATTATGAGCACAAAGTTTATTTAAAAGCCATTCTGTCTGAGTAATTCATCAATTTTCCATATGCCCACCCAATTGCAACTCTTGAGTGCAGAGGCACAGGCGCAGCAGCTGTCGCCTTCTCAAGACAGTGCTCGGCTGGGAGGGCGCTGGCTGGGTTGCGTAGTTAAAACCAATAATAATAAAGCTCCAGCGTTGTTGCAAAACGTTTAAACTCAAGAGAATGCAATGTCTACACTTGAATGACAGAGGAGCAACCAACCATCGAGAGGGCGATGCACTGCTGTTCCCCCTGCACCCGAGTTCATCAGCCTTCGCATCCTGTCAAGCCCATTACCTTTAGCCTCGCATTAATAGCAGCTGTTTAACTAAAACTACAAAAGAAAAGACAGGAACTGGTGTGCAATTGCGCCTCTGCTGGACCAGTGACTTTCCCCTCCAGAGGCCGGTCGCTCTGGCAGAAGCCGTAATGAACCGTTCAAGAGGGCGTTTTTGCGGCTTTTATTTGAGTTAAACCCCCTAATTCCCGTTTCTAAGCGTTATAAACATGGAAATAAACGAATAATAATGGAATAGAGAGGCGCGAATGCTGTAGTTGAACAAGTAACATTTGGCTGCCGTGTGTTGTGTGACGACGCAAGCCAGCCGGTCAGCCTGCTAGTGCCTTCAGCCCCACAGTCACCTTCCTGCGCTTTCTCGGCCTGAGATTGCGATGCCTCTTTGAATTGAAAGGCCACAATTAGTGTTCCGTTATCATCTGTTTCCCGTGGCTTTGTGACCTTGGCCGTGGGGCATCCGCGGCGTCGAGACCGGAGCGCGGAGGAGCCGTTCCGTTTGAACGTGGCAATGGCTTTTGGTTAAGTTTTGACCATTTTTTTCTCTCAGGAAGCCACTTTTAAAATTTATTTCAATCGCAGCGCTTCTTTGAGTCCCCTTTCTGTGGCAGGTCGCCGCAGAGATTCCGAATCCGGCACCCCAACGATGACAGGATCTTGCAAAAAGACACCTCAGTGACACAAAGGCTACTGATCTAGCCTCCGGCGACGCACTGAGCTTGTTGAATTTTCCATTTTCCGACAGAAAACATTCGATGCGGATGCCATGTGCTTGTTTTTGACGGATAAGCTCCGCTTCGGCCGTGCGAAACCGCGGCAGCAGCAGCAGCAGCAACAGCAGCAGTAGTAGCAAGCAGTAGTTCGCCCTGCGAACGCCTCGCCCACGCCTCCCCCACCGTCTCCAGAATGGACCCTTCTTCCCCAGAGTCCTTTGAAGACACTCTTCCCCTGCGGGAACTTCCCACTGAGACCTCTCTGGGCGAGTCAGCGGCCTGGGACTTGTACAGCTCGGCCAGCGAGGACCCCAGGAGCTACGAGACGTCTCCGGCGTCGGACGAGCAGCTGTCGTGGTTCAGGGTGCAGCAAACGGAGTCCCGCAGCAGCAGGGGGGCCCCCCAGCAGCAGGGGGGCCCCCTGGCGGCCCCCCAAAGGGCCCCCCCTGCCAAGGCCCCCAGCCGCAAACCCCTCCTGGCCCTCTTTGCACTGCTCGTGGGCGCGGCCCTCCTGGCCAGGGGGGCCCCCAGGGTCCTGGGGGCCCCCCAGTTGAGGCTCTTTAGCCAGCAACTCCCGAGCTTGGGGGCCCCCCAGGGGGACTTGGAAAGAGATTTAGCGGCACAAATGGACAATAAGGATAGTCTTGAAGATGTCAAATTTGCACAAGACGTCAAAGACGCACTAGACGAGCTCGAACGCATTTTGGAGAGAGAGGAACTCACTTAGAGAGGCCCCCACGAATCGCGGAGCTGCTGCTGCAGCAGCAGCAGCAGCAGCAGCAGAGCAGGTGGCCCAGCAGTCACGTTTGGGCGCAGCAAATTCCTCTTCGTTTCGTTTCGTTCCTGCGTCCGGATTTTTGGCGATTTTATTTTTCGCATTTTTGCAAAAAAACATTTTCGGCAGGACGAAACGATTCAAGCTTGACGCAATGCTCCTTTGCCCCATTCACAGCTAGCCAGCTAGCTAGAGGTCTAGTTAGCTAGCTAGCTGGCTAGCTGGGCGTTTGGCTAGCTAGATATGTAGACAGCTAGCTGTACATGTTGCTGCCTAGCCGTCTAACTAGTTAGGCAGCTAGCTAGCTAGCCATTTAGCTAGCTGGGCATTTAGCTAGCTGGCTAGATGCATAAGTAGCTAGCTAGCCATTTAGTTAGCCATCTAGCTGGCGATCTAGCTAGCTAGCTAGCCGGCTAGCTGGGCAGCTGTGCCGCAGTGCGGTAGAGGGCTCTGTGCACTGCAGCAAACCAAGAAGCTGGCAGCAAAGTTGAACTCAGCAGCAAAAGCTTTTCAAATTGAATAACTAGAGTTTCCCACATTCAATTCAACTCCAGTGAGCTCGCGAACTTCGACTCCTCTCTTTGCACTGACACGCAGCAGCATGCAGCAGCACAGGCTGCAGCGCAGCAGCAGCAGCGCAGCAGCAGCACAGGAGCAAAAGAGTTTCTTTCGACCTGAATGCATGCGGGGTGATTTCAGCTGAACAGAAAATGGGTTTTCAGCTGAGCCGCTGCAGGCCTTTGTCTCTTTCTAGTTTCAATTTTAATTTAGTCTTAATTTAATTTTAATCTAACTTTAATTTTAATTTTCACTATTTACCCAAATGCACAAGGTGTACTGACAGCCGGGAAGTGAGCGCCGCAGACTGATCCAGTAGCCAAAGATGCCAGCTAGCTGCTAGCTAGCCGCCAGCTAGCTGCCAGCTAGCTGCTAGATCTCTCCTAGCCAGCCGCTAGCTAGCTGCTAGCTAACTGCTAGATTGCTGCTAGCTAGCTGCCAGCTAGCTGTCTTTCCTATTCCAAATATTTCCTATCTACTCCTGCGTCTTCTTTCGTTTGCTGCGCTTCTTATCTGTGCAGACACTTTCAGCTGCTGCCGAGCAGCAGCAGCAGCAGCAGCGGCAGCAGCATCAAAACGCGTTTTTCTCGATTAAACGCGTCTACGAGTCCGCGGCAGCAGCAAGTGAAATGAATTGCTGAAATCCGCAGAGGCCTCAAATAAAAGGAAATGGAATGAAGTGCTGCAATTTGCAAAAGCCTCAAATCTAAAGCAGCAGCCGCAGCAGCTGCTGCTGCTGCAGCTGCCGTCTGCCGCAGCTGCCGTCTGCTGCAGCAGTCGCTGCCTGCTGCAGCAGCCGCTATCCGCTGCAGCAGCGGCCTTCTTTGCTGCAGCAATCGCCCGCCCTGCTGCAGCAGCCGAGATTTGCTGCTACAGCGTGGGTTTGCTGCAGCCGCCCCATCTGCTGCAGCAGGAGTCATCGGCTGCAGCAGCTCTTTGGAAGCAACGGCGCAGGGAAGCTGCTGCTGCAGCAGGTCCGGGGCCTGAAGTCTCGGGTGCTGCGGCTTTCGAGTTGCTGCTGCTGCTCGAGTGTTCCGTTCGCTGCGGCCTTCGCGTCGCTGCTGCCGCTGCTGCTGCTGCTGCTGCTGCTGCTGCTGGTCACTGCAGCTGCTGGCGGATGAGGTCCTTCAACTTGTTCATGTCTGCAGCAAAGTTGCGAATGCCTTCGGCCAGCTTCTCCGTGGCCATTGCGTCTTCATTCAACATCCAGCGAAAAGTCTTTTCGTCCAAATGCAACTTTGCAATTTGCTGCTTCTTCGCGGACTGTACAGACAGCTTCGCGCTCACCTCCCCGCCCATTTGCTGCAGCTGCTGCAGCAGCTTCGGCGAGATCGTCAGCTTGTCGCAGCCCGCCAGCTGCAGGATTTCATCTGCAGCGCAGCAGCAGCACAACAGGCACAGACCACTGGTCCAACCCACTGGTCCACTGGTCGCTCCTGCTGCAGCACCCACTCTCCCACTGCAGCAGCAGCAGCCCCTTGCTGCAGCAGCGGTCGACTGCAGCAGCAGCGGTCGACTGCAGCAGCAGCGGCGGCCTCTGCCGCGGCAGCGGCCACTGCAGCAGCGCAGCCCACTGCAGCAGCAGCAGCAGCAGCAGCAGCAGCAGCAACGCGCGGACCGGTGTTCCTGAAGGAGGCCGCCATCACCACCGTCTTGCTGGCGAAGTGTTTGAAGTAGTTGTAGATTTGGGAGACACTCTTCACGCCGGGGTCTTCAGCAGCAGCAAAATCTTTTTCCGGATTCGCCTTTTTGTGCCAATCCAGAATTCGCCCCACGAACGGCGACACGAGAAACGCCCCCGCCTCGCTCGCGGCCACCGCCTGCATGCACCGCCCCGCCGCATGCAGCGCATGCGTGCATGCATGCACGCATGCAAACGCATGCATGCGTGCAAATGCGTGCATGCATGCACACGCGTGCGTGCACTTGCATGCGCTTGCATGCATTGGCAGCAAGTGCGTGCGGACGCAGGCGCTTGCGTGCACGCAGTTTTGTGCGCGCACGTGCGTGGCTGTGTTGCAAGGATGCATTTGCATGCACTTGCTGCAGCTGCTGCAGCTGCTGCAGCTGCTGCAGCTGCTGCAGCAAGGGGCTGTAGCTGCGGCAGCACAGAGCTGCAGCTGGAAGACAGAACACAGAAACTCTCAGCAGCAGCAGCAGCTTTGGAGATTAACAAGGAGCAAAACGCATGCAAGAAGCAGCAGAAACGCGAGCTTTGCCGCCCCTTAACACAAACACGTGCACCCATGCATGCACGCACGCATGCACGCATGCAAGCATGCATGCGTGCGTGCATGCGTCTGTGCATGCACCTGGCAGAGGCTGAAGAGCAAAGTGATGTTGCAGTTGATGCCTTCTTCCTTGAGCTGCTTGGCCGCTTGAATGCCTTCCCAGGTTGCTGCCACTTTTATTAAAATTCGGTCTTTGGAAATTCCCTTCGACTTGTACAGTTCTATTATTCGCCGCGCACGAGCCACAGACCCTGCAGCAACACCCACACGCAACTGCAGCAGCAGCTGCAGCAGCAGCAGCAGCAGCTAGCTCAAGCAGCAGCAACTGGCAGTGCAGCGGCAGCAGCTGGTGCAGCAGCAGCAGCAGAAGCTGTGGGGCTTCGGCGTGCGCGCGGTGTCTTGCTGCTGCACGCATGCATGCATGCACGCATGCACGAATGCATGCATGCATGCATGCATGCATGCATGCATGCATGCATGCATGGAGTTGCACCTTCCGTGTCGAAAGAAAGCTCTGCGGGGATTTCAGTGCTGACAAGTCCGGGAATGATTTCCAAAAGTTCCATTCCAAACCCCACAAGCACGCGGTCCACGGCCTCTTCCACTGTCTGTACACCCCGGAATGCAGCACAAAGCCGCCCCATTCACCTGCCGCAGCAGCAGCAGCAGCGACTCGCTGCAGCACCAGCAGCGACTTGCTGCTGCAGCAACAGCAGCAGCAACTTGCCGCTGCTGCTGCCGCAACAGCAGCAGCAGCTGCTGCTGCTGCTGCTGGCTGGGGTGTACGTACAGCCTCGAGGTCCTTGCCCTTGGAGGCCTCCTGGGCCTCGTTGATGGCTTTTTGGAAAAGATTTTTATATTTGGAGTTGCTGACGGCCTGCAGCACGAGGGTGGGGTTGGTAGTTGCGTCTGTGGGGCTGAATTCCTTGATGGCTTCGAAGTCTGCAGAGTCTGCAACAATCGTGGAGAGCCGCGCGAGCTGCTGCAGCGCGCTGCTGCTGCTGCCCGCGTTGCTGCTGCTGCCGCTGCTGCCTGCAGCCGACTTCTCCGCAGTGCGCTGCGCCTTCTGCGCAGGCCCGTGGGCCCCCGAGCCGTCCGTGGAGCCCCGCCGCTTCTGGGTGGTCTTGGAGTTCGGCATTTCCTGAGCAGCAGAGACAGAAGCAAAACGAAACTTCTGGCGGTTAAGGCTGGCCACTCCGGCGGCTGCGCTGGCGCCAGGTGTACGTACACCCCAGCAGCAGCAGCGCGCCGCCAGCTTTCTCCCGAATCCCGCTGAGACCCCAGCCGACAAGAACCCCCCCGGAATGGGAAGACGCGGCTAAAGGCAAGTACCTGGGATGCGAGGGACATATCTTCGTCCTTAATAAAAGAATTCGACATGCAGGAAGGAAAGAAAAACAACTTTATTCACTGCCACTCCTCCTCACTGCCTCCAGCAACTACGCCGCCAAGCGCCGCGGCAGTAGGGCCCCGCAACAAGCGGCCGTGACACACACCGACTGGCTCGTAGAATTTGCGTTAAATTCGACTTTTCGCAAATTTAAATGCTTTTAAAACTCCAGTTTCCCTCTCCCGCAGAAGTAAGCTGAACACTGGCTGCGCGGGCGCACGCTGAACCGGCAGGTGTACGTACACCTCACCCAGCTGAGGTGAATCGCCTCGTTTGCAAGCAAAGGCATTTATAAACTGTGCGACCGGCCTCAGCGGCCCTTTAGATGTTCTTAGGATTTAAAATTACACTTTTAGTAAACTAATTTGCTGCTAGAGAACGCGAGCCGGAGACAATCCTCGCCAACACATTTCCGAAGACGACCTCTGTCTGAGGTCTCGGCTGCACTCTTTCTGCTTCCCCTGGCGGAAAGCGGCTTTCCAGCGACCCTTTTGTCCCGTTCAAAGCCGGAAAGCACTTAATTTATCTTTTAATTATTTGTGAAGGCCTCTAGAGCTCAAAGAACTGCAGCTTTCCCTGCATTGCAAGTCGGGGTCTGCGGAAAGCGCTATTTCGCAGTGCGCGACGAGTCGCCCGGAGAGCGCTGAGTGAGAAGATCGAGCCAGCGGCGGCTGCGTGGAGCGCTGCGGCAGCAGCACTTTTGTTTTCGCAGCTAATTCCGCTTTGAATTCCTCAAACACACTTGCTGCTAAAGTTTCTGGAGCTTTCCGCGAAAATGCCGTTCGAACTCCCCCCGCTGCCGTACCCCATGGACGCCCTCGAGCCGTACATCAGCAAAGAGACTCTCGAGTACCACTATGGGAAGCACCACGCGGCTTACGTGAACAACTTGAACAGTGCGTGTCTGCAGCAGCAGCAGCAGCTGCTGCTGCTGCTGCGCTGCTGCAGCTGCGGCAGCAGCAGCAGGAGCCGCACTGCGGGGCCGCTGCCCGCGGCCGCGAGGCGTAGACCGGCGCACTGGCCCGCCGCTGCTGCGGTGTAGCGACAGCTGCTCAGGCGCAGCACGCTGGGGTGTACGTACACCTGCTGCTGCTGCTGCTGCTGCTGCTGCGTGTGCGGGCTGCTGCTGTGTGGCTCAGAACTCGTCGAGGGGAAGCCGGAGGCTTCCAAGAGCCTGGAGGGTAGGACGCGCGCCAAAGCGCAAACCCTAAACCCTAGCCCTAAACCCTAGCGGAGGCTGCAGCAGCAGCGGTTTCGCAGGCGCTGGGGTGTCTGTACACGGGCGCGCGGAGGGTGTGCGGGCCCGAAGCGCCGGCGCGTTGCGCGGGCTTTCGGGGCCCGCAGGAGCGCGGGGAAACCCTAAAAAAGGGTTTGAGGGTGTGGAGGGTGTGTGCGTTCAGAAATAATAAAGACCTCCTCGGGGTCGGTGCTGAACAACGCGGGCCAGGCGTGGAACCACACGTTCTACTGGAAGTCGATGCGGCCGGCCTCGGCGGGGGGCCCCCCGGGGGCCCCCGGCGGGGGCCCCCCGGGGGCCCCGGGGGCCCCCCTGCGGGAGGAGCTGGAGAGCGCGTTCGGGGGCGTGGAGAAGTTCCGGGAGGCCTTTGCTGCTGCTGCTGCTGCGCACTTCGGCTCGGGCTGGGCCTGGCTCTGCTTCTGCAAGAAGTCCCGCAGCCTCTTTTTGCTGCAGACCCACGACGGGGCCACGCCTTTCAGAGACAACCCCAACTGCGCGCCGCTGCTCACCTGCGACCTGTGGGAGCACGCCTACTACATCGACCGCAGAAACGACCGCAAGAGCTACCTCGACGGTCCGTCCCGCTGCTGCTGCTGCTGCTGCTGCTGCTGCTGCTGCGGCTGCGGAGGGGGGGTGTTGGGGGCGCGGGGGAGGGCGCTGGTGCGGGAGCGGGTGGGGCTGCTGGGCGGCTGCGGCGGGGGCTGCTGCTGCTGCTGCTGCTGTGCTTGCTGCGGCTGCCGCGGATCCGCGGGGGATAGATAGGTCCCTTTGTGTTTGTATGTTGAGGCCGTGCTCTGCAGAAGCCTTTTTGGGACGGCTGGCAGCACACGCGTGCATTGTCGTGTGCTGCTGCTGCTGCTGCTGCTGCTGCTGCGTCGCGTGTTTGCAGCGTGGTGGTCTGTGGTGAATTGGGACTTCGCGAATGAGAACTTGAAGAAGGCAATGCAGGGAAGCGACTAGCTGTCGAGACACCCGACAGCGCCAGCACGTGGCTGCGAGCTGCAGCAGCAGCAGCAGCAACAGCGCAGCAGCAACGGCAGCGCAGCGCAGCAGCAACAGCAGCGACAGCGCAGCGGCGACAGCGCAGCAGCAACAGCAGCGACGGCGCAGCAGCACGGACAGTAGCAGCGGGAAGACAGCGAGGTGTTGGGGACGAACAGCTGTCGCTGCTGCACCTGCAGCAGCTGCTGCTGCAGCTGCGGAACATCTAACTGCAGGTTTTGAACAAGAAAAACTTAATCTTTGTAGTGCAGCTTCCGTCTTCGTTCCGGCTGCCGGGAGGTGTCGAGACACCCGAGAAGTGTCGAGACACCCGAGAGGTGCCGAGACACCCGACACCCGATAGTAGAGAGCAGTTCCACTACAGAAAAGTTTAATAATAGTTCTTTTGTTGGATTTAAATACGTTATTTTGGATTAAATAGAGTAAATTTAATCAAAAAGAAGAAAGGCAAACAGTGGACGAGGCCTCAGGCAAATGTTCAACTTCCGTCGCCGCCGGCAGAGTTCAGAAGTTGCGGAAAGTTGCATTAATTTGCATTAAAATTGGAGCAAATTGGAATTAATTGGAATTAAATTGCAACTAATTATTACTTCCGAATTTAGAAAGAAACAAATCCTTCCAAAGGCGCAGATCGGAGGCCTCGGGCCGCCGTCGAAGCGCGGGCCAACGCTGGGGTGTAAGTACACCGCACCCACGAGCCAGCGAAGCCGCTTACGCCAGCAGCAAGCAGCAGCAGCAAGCAGCAGCAGCAGCAGCAGGCTTGCATGCATGCACGGGAGCAGCAGCTTCTCCTTAAATGGAGCTCTTTGCTGCTTCTTTAGTACCGCAGCCAGTAAGTTGCCCGCCGGATGTCAATTAGCTGCGGCATTCCGTGCAGAGGCCCCATCGCGCTCACTGCCACTTCCTGCGCAACCCCACACAAACTGCTGCTGCTGCTGCTGCTGCATGTGCTGCTGCTGCTGCTGCTGCATGTGCTGCTGCTGCTGCTGCATGTGCTGCTGCTGCAAGTGCTACTGCTGCAAGTGCTGCTGCTGCTGCTACAAGAGCTGCTGCTGCTAGACAAGTGCTGCTGCTGCTGCTTCAAGTGCTGCTGCTGCTGCTGCTGCGCTTGCTGCCACTCACTTTGTCGTGGAGGTATTTCCAGGCGACTCGTTTAATTTCGTCGGCGTCGATTGCGTTGAGGCGCATGAGGAACTCCGCAGTGGGGACATGGCGGCCGTAGACTCTGCAAATTGGCATTTCAAGTTGAATTCAGCATTTCAGCATTTCAAAACAAAGACATTTTGAAATAAAATGCAACAAAAATGAAAATAAAAATAAAAATAATTCAAGCCTCACAGAATTTGCCGGCCCAGGTCTTCAGCGACGGAAGTTGTCGAGTCCAGATGGCCGAGCAGTTGCGTCTGAGTTGCATGCAGCGCTCGGCAAACATATTACCTTTCTAGGAAGCGAAATTGCCTCGAACAAGTGCAAAATATAAATAAATTATATTAATTAAAGGCATTGAAACATTAAATGGAGCAAATCTGAACCCTAAAACCCGCACCGTCAGCTGCGCCTTCGCGCGTTCAACTTCCTCGTCGGTGACCTGCACGCAAACCGGGTGTACGTACACCTCGGGCGGAAGCGGTGACCCGGAGTTTGCAGGTCCAGATCTCGTGTCAGTGAGCATTTTTTTCGTTTATTTTTCATGGTTATTGTGAAAATATGGAAAAGAAGTGCTTACGCTGTAGGAAAGAGCCGTGATCCCGTGCATGAGGTCCAGAACGCAGTGCTCGACGGCGACTTCGTCGCACTGCGCGTAGAAGCCGAAGAGCCCAGTGTCCCGGTAACAAGTATTGAAAGCTGAAAACATTTCTGCACATCCAGTTTGCATTTTCGTCGCGATGTTCCGCACTGTCGTGTTCGCACTCAGCTTCCCCGGCACCAGCCCCTCCTCGTGTTTTCTGTAGCTCCCGATGATCGCCTGCATCAGCATGAACGCCACCACGTCTGCACACAGCAGCAGCAGCAGTGGAGATACGGGGAGAGAAGTGAACTGAGGAATAAATAAAACCCTGGGAAAGGGCTGCTGCAGCAGCTCCTGCAGCAATTCTCCAGCAACATGAAAGCAGCAAAACCCCAAAGCCCTCCGGGAGCTGCCCGTCCCTGAAACCCCCAAAAATGCCCAAACCCTTGGCAAACCCTAAACCCTCGCCAGCGAAACCCTAAAAGCAAAACCCTAACCCCTCGCTAGCGAACCCTTAAATCCTCACCAACGAAACCCGAAACCCTCGCTAGCGAAACCCCACACCGTCACTGGGGAGCGCCCAAACCCCCGCTAGCGAAACCCCAAACCCTCGCCGGTAAGCCCTAAACCTTTGGAGGGCAAGGCCCAAACCCTAAACCCTAAACCCTAAACCCTCACCGGGGGACTTCCAGGGGACGCCCTCGAAGCCGACTGCGATGTGGGCAATGGGGCCCATGTCGTCGTCTCTGTAGATGAGTTCGGAGCCGCAGAAAAAGGGTTTAGGGTTTGGGAGGGCAATGGTTTGGGGTTTGGGAGGAGGGAGGTTTGCGAAGGACCACTGGACCAGGTCCACCAGCCGGCGGTGGTCCACTTCGCCTGCTGCTGCCACCACCACGCGGCTGCTGCTGTAGTTCCGCGCGATGTAGTCCAGCAGGTCTTCGCGCTGCATCTTCTCCACGTTCTCCGCAGACCCCAGGATCGTGAAGCCCAGCGGGCTGTCCCGAAACGCCTGCAGCAGCAGCAGCAGCAGCAGCAGCAGCAGCAGCAGCAGGGAAGCAGCGGGACGGCAGCGAGTTGCGCTGGAAGCGGAATTCGCGCGGGCGGATGCCGCGCCAAAAGCAGCGCAGTGCAAATTGCCACTTCAACTCTGTTCAACCTCAAAATTAAAACAAATAATAAAAAAATAAATAGTAAATAATAAATAATAATTAAATAAATAATAAATAAATAAAAAATAAATAAATAAATTGTGAATCGTAAATGGATAAATGCTGGCGCGGCTCACCGTCATGTGCAGCCTGTCGAAGATGACTTCTTCAGTTTGTTTTTCAACTTCTTCCATTTCCCTCAAAATAACTCTTTTCTCAACTTCAAGAGCTTCTTTGTCAATCGTGGAGTTCAATAAAATGTCCGAGAGGATGTCTAGACACTGCGGAAGGTCCTTCTTAAACGCTTTCGCGTAGTACCTGCATAGACAGCTGCTGCGCCACAAACCTTGCTGCACTGCTGCAGCACGCCCCTGCTGCAGCAGCAAACCAATGCCGCTCCAACACGCCGTTTGCTGCGCTCCGTCCACGCAATAAACTAAACCCTAAACCCTAAACCCTAAACCCTCGGCGGCGGCCCCGGCGGAGGCGGCGCCGCCCGCAGCAGCCAACTGCCGTCTCAGTTTTGTTTTAAATCTCTTGAATTTGAAATCTAGATATATTTAATTTACAGTTTAAATGTATTTAACTCAAAATTAACTTACACTGTTTGTTCGCGAGAAGTGTAGGCATTTAAGTGGGCTCCCATGTTCTCGATTTCCTGCTCGAGTTGAATGCGCGAGCGCTTCTTGGTGCCCTGTGCAGAAACAGCAGCAGGCAGCTGGAAACGCATTTCTGGACCCGCAACAGCACCAAACCCATCAATAAAGACACAAATAGTATTTGAAACGAAAATAGCAATTAAAAAGTCCGAAAACTGCTCAGATTCCACGAAGATCGGCTGCGCGGACTCGCCCAGCGCACCTTGAAGGCCATGTGCTCCAGGAAGTGAGCCGCGCCATTTGTACTCTTCCGGTCAAAACGGCTTCCGCTGTCAATCCAAACCCCTACAGTTATTGTTTCTGAAAAGGGGAGTCTTTGAGAAGCCACGCGAATGCCGTTTGGCAGCTGGGTGAGCTCTGCATGCAGAAAGGCAGCAGCAAATGCAAAACGGAAACCCTTGCGATCCGGCGCCTTCCCGCCCGCAGCAGCCGCTCAAACACAGTCTGGGGAAATAAAACTGGAAATGCAATTTATTCAAAGTCTAAAATTCGAAAAAGGATAAATGGATGCAGCAAAAAGAGCCGCGCGAACCCGCAGCAGCGCGCACCTGCGCGGGGCTGGTTGAACGCGGAAATCGGCACGGAGCTGCGCCTGTCTGCAGCAGCAGTTGGGTCGCTGCTGCCGACAGACGTGGGGGTTTTTTTGGTGCTGGCAGCAGCAAGATTGGTGAAACAGCATTTGCTGCTCCTGAGGCTCAAGTTTGCATACCGCAGCGCAGCAGCAACCGCCCCCCTGCAGGCGCCGCCAACGTGGCGCGAGGCCGCAGCTGTGGCGCCGTGCATTGTGTGCAAAGAGAAGCTGCTGCTGCTGCTGCTGGACTTGGTTTGTTTCTGCTGCAGCAGAGGCCCGGAAGATCCCGCGCATGCAACGGCGGAGGAATTCGCTTCTGAGGCCTCTGCAGGCGGCCCAAAGCCCGCTGGCAGGCAAAAGAATTAAATTATAAAACGCAAAAATGAAACGAAACGCAACTTCAGTGCCTACACCCCAACTGCCTTCCGCTGCAGCAGCAGCAGCAGCAGCCGGACAGCCCCGCTGCAGCAGCAGCAGCCGCTAACGCCGCTCTCAGCCTTTTCACGCTCCCAGGGCTTTAAAACCTATTAAACAAACAAAAATTAAAATAAGCAACAAACTTTATTCCTTTTAAATCCTTGAAATGTATTTTTAATCAGAATCCGAGCACACCAGCGGGATAAACGTGAAACAAACTCTTGCTTCCAGCTCCGGGTGTTTGCCGTTTGCTGCAGCAGACAAAACCGGCACTTCCTCGTGCAGAATTGTAATTCATTTTATTTTTTAAATTAAATTTTCAATTTTACTTGCCTTTGCATATTTGTTTATGCAGAAGGCTTAAGAACACTTCTGAGAACGTTTCGACTGCAGCAGCGTCGCTTGCCGCATTAATGCTGAACAGATATGAAGTTGTTCAAAACGGAAATGCAAAAGTTTTCCTAAATTGCCCTTTTATCTTTATTGTTTTATTATTTTCTCAAAGTGTCTGCTGAATTAGAAACAGAGAAAACTATCAAATCAGCTGCCACAGTTTGAGCCGCACAGCTGCAGCAGCAGGATAGTTTGACAGGGAAACTGTGCAGTTTTTAATTTATTTTCCGGAAAAGATGCAACAAATATACGAAATAAACTTTTTATTTTATTTATTTTCTCAAAATAAGCGTTTTAATTCGCGAAAAATGCCTTTTTATAGTGCTTTACATACTCCTGCCACTGAGGTCCAGACCCAAGCAAAACCGCTGCCCCCCGTCCATTTGTGGCGTTTACCTGGACTATTTCAATATAAACAAATACATTTTCACTTCCATTTTAATTTAAATAATATATTTCAATTAATTAAATACATTTGATTGCAAACAAACACCTATTTGCGTTTACAGCAAATTGGACTTTTGTTCTTGCCTCTTTTGCTGCTGGGCACCAGCAGCACAGCAGGTGAGAGCAGCAAGCAGCATACAGATAAGGATTTGCCTCAGCAGCAGCTGTAGCAGCAGCAGCAGCAATAATAGCAGAAGAGGCAAGAGCAGCAACTGCGACAGCAGCAGCAACAACAGCAGCAGCAGCAGCAGCAGCAGCAGATGCTGCAATTTTCCTTCTTTCCTTCAGAAACCGGAACGAGTTAAAATCGGATTCTTTTTTTTGGGATGTACGTACACCCCAATATGAGTCGCCCCGCCACTGCTGCGTCAAAAACAAAAAATTGAATTATTTTGTTTTTCAAATTTCCGTCTCCTCAACTTCAAATTTGAAGACTCATGGATGGCCTGAAGGCGCTGTGTGGGGCTCCACTAAATTCACCAAGGGGCCCCTATGGGGCCCCCAAGGGGCCCCCAGGGGCCCCCAAGGGGCCCCAGAGGCGTTTTTGTGGCCCCACCGGAGGGCCCCCAGGGGCCCGCCCCATGGGGGCCTCCCGGGGGCCCCCCGGGGCCCCCCGAGGGACTAACGGCATTAGAGGCTCCACAAGGACCTTTGGGGGCCCCCATGTCCTTCAGAGGATTCGAGGGGCCCCAAAGGCTTCGAAAAAGAACCAAAATGGACTCAAATGGCATTATTCTGAGCAGCAGGGGCCCCCTAGGGGCCCCCCATAGGGGCCCCCAAGGGGGCCCCCTAGGGATCCCCCGAGGGGGGCCCCAAGGGGGCCCCCAGGGGGCCCCCCGAAGGGCCCCAAAGGGCTACCGGGGGCTAAAAATGAAAAGCAACTTTGTCACAAAACTATTTTGCCTTTCAAGCCATTCTTTTTATGTGGGGGAAACAAGAAAACAGAAGATCTTTGTCTTTTTTGGGACTTTTAATTGGAAAATAAATACTTAGAAGCCCCTAGAAGCGCATGCAGACACATGCATGCATGCATGCATGCATGCATGCATGCATGCATGCGTGGATTTTCCGGTGTACGTGGCGGCTTTGTATTAATAAGTACAAAGGCACTTGTGAGCGCGTAGGCGTTTTTGTATATGCACAAATATGAATTTAAATGGAGAATAAAATAATTTGTTCTCCATTTTGGTGCATTTTGAATAATTTAATGCTCCTCTTTTCATTTATTTGTCAATTGAATCCTCCAAAATCAAATTATTAAACAAATAAAAAACTCGAGCTTTTGCTTTTTGAAAAATTGACTTCGAATGGCTGCATGCGTTTTTGCACTGCACGAAAGTTCGTGCAAAGACAAATGCATGCAAATAGGCTCCTGAGACTTTGTTTATAAATGCATGTTTAGATTAATAATTTAGAAATTAATAAAATAAAGAAAAATAAACAAAAATATATTTAAATAAAGATGTCTAATCCAGATAAATAGATACATTGAGAATAATAAAAAGTACTTTTTTGTTTTAATTCAAACTTTGCACTTCACACTAACTTGCACTTGGGCTAATTCGAGTTTGCAGAAAAACGCAAGAAGTGAAAAAGGGATTTTCGAGTTTGCAAACTTTTCAAATTTGAAAAGACCACTGGACCTTCTGGGTGGTTTTGTGCGGTGTGTCTGGTGGTCACTTTCTTTTTTTAAAAAAAATGAAACTTTTTGCAACAAAGAAAGAAAGAAAGGGCCCCCGAGCTGCTGCTCTTTGCGGGATAAATGAATGTTTAAGAGTTTTAAAAGTCCTTTTTAGCACTAGTTTTGAATTGGCGGCGCTGAGGCGGTTTTTTCCAGCTCGAAAACCCTTAACCCAAACCGTAAACCCCAAACCCTAAACCCTAAACCCTAAATCCTAAACCCTCAGAGGCGTCAGCGCCGCGCCCGCAGCCTCAAACCCCAAACTTCTCTTGTCTAAATGTTTATTCTGAAAATTGCTGAATTATAATAAATAAATTGAAAAGGAAAAGTAAAGAAGCAGCAACGCAATGGAGGCGGTCCCGGGCGTTGCTGGCCCCTGGTGGAGAGCGATGCCGCAGGTCCCGTCTGGCCGCTGCATGCGTGAAAAGTTTGCGGAAATAAATGAATTAAATGGAATTAAAGTGGAAAAATGAATTAAATGAGACTTTAATCGCCAAAAATAAACGGAAGGAAACTGATCAGCCGCCGCTGCCCAGTGGTCTTGCAGGCGCCACGCGAGCTGTACGTACACCTGAACACCACCACCGTTTTTCCCCTTTTTCTTTTCAAATTTTATTTCATTTTCTTTCCTTTTGCTTTTCCTTTGCCTCCCGGGGGCCCCTGCTGCTCCCGGCTGCCCCAGGGTCCCGCGCTGCAGGGAAATCAAACCCCAGATCCAGTAGCAGCAGAGTCCGGGAGCAGCAGCAGCAGCAGCAGCAGCAGCAGCACAGCAACAGCAGCAGCAGCAAAGGCAATTCTGAACTTCCCATTGCGCTTCCGCCTCGCCAGGAGCTGCTGCAGCTGGTTTCCAGGTGTACGTACACCCCAATTACCCCTACAAACCCTCAACGTCTCATGGAAAGGCTGACAGTCATTTTCTTTTCTTTTCTTTTGTAGCGCAGCCGCTAGCCGCCCCTGGCCAGCCCCCCTCACGGCCCAGACCGAGCGCAGGCCGTGGGGTTTAGGGTTTAGGGTTTAGGGTTTAGGGTTTAGGGTTTGGGGTTTGAAGCTGGAGTCCAAAGCTTCGACTCAAAATGGCGGCGATATTTTCCAAGGTGCGTTTCCGTCGAACACTGTCCCTTCTGCTCCCTGATTTAGTCTAGGGTTTAGGGCCTAGGGTTTAGGGTTTAGGGTTTAGGGTTTAGGGTTTGAGCATGCGCGCGGCTGAACAGTACGGGGAGCTGGTGAACTTCATCATTAGGCCCCCGAGAGATAATTACAAAGAAGAAGAGTTGGGCCCTCCCCTCTTCACTATGGCGGGAAGGCTGTACAAACGCACAGGCAAGCCTAGGGTTTAGGGTTTAGGGTTTAGGGTTTAGGGTTTAGAGTTGTGGGTTAGGGTTTAGAGTTTAGGGTGCACACTGTAGAAAGTATGGCGTACAGGAGGACGCAAGGACAGATGATTCAAAAGGCTGGCCAACGCGTGGGGCTTAGGGTTTAGGGTTTAGTACTTAGGGTTTAGGGTTTGTGGGGTTTGTCTCAGACCTGGAATTAGTCAACAGAAGGAACATGCGGCTTCAGTGCAGCCACTTCGAGCCTGTTTTGTCGTATGTGAAACAGCCCCTCGGAGCTAAACCCTAAACCCTAAGCCCTAAGCTCAAGGCAAACGGATGAGGGTTTAGGGTTTAGGGTTTAGGATTTACGTGGGCTTGTTCAGGTCTCGCTCAAAAAAGAAACTCCCCTGCGTCGTTTACTTACACGGGAACTGTTCTTCTCGAATTGAAGCCAGTGTGTCCTAAGCCCTAAACCCTAGACCCTAAACCCTAATCGGCAAACCCTCGGCCTTGCACCCCAAACCCTAAACCCTAAACCCTAAACCCTAAACCCTAAACCCTAAACCCTAAGCCCTAAACCCTCCGCCGCAGCGACCTGCAGACATCAGGAGCTGCTTCTCTGCGGGAGCTCCCGCGCTTTGAAACTCTAGATTAGGGTTTGGGGTTTCCTTTAGGGTTTAGACGAAAATGAAGTGTTTGGAAGCAGCGCTTGCTCGGGTGTACGTACACCTGGGGTGTATCTGCAGTGTACGTACACCCGGGAACTGCTGGGGTGTATCTGCAGTGTCCGCGCTGCCGGTGCTGCTGCCACAAAACATAACTGTTTTTGCTTTTGACTTTTCCGGCAGCGGCAAGTCCGACGGGCCCTACATCAGCTTGGGTGGGTTTAGGGTTTAGGGTTTAGGGTTTAGGGTTTAGGGTTTGCGTGGTTCTGCCTCTGGCCCCAGCATTTCTTCGTGTTTGCTTTTGTTCCTGTGAAGCCTTTGGTGCAGCTGACTCTTCATTCCAGACTCGAGGGTTTGGGGTTTGGGGTCTGGAGCTCGGGCTCGCGGGCTAGGGTTTAGAGTTTAGGGTTTAGGGTTTGGGCCTTCAGGGTGGTGGGAGCGCGACGACGTGGACACCGTGGTGGAGCACCTGCGGTGTCTAGACACCGTGTCGGCTGTGGGGCTGTGGGGCCGCAGCATGGGCGCCGTCACGGCTTTGCTGCATGCATGCAGAGACCCCTCCATAGGCGGCGTGGTGAGCCTCCAGCTGTACGTACACCCCACGCGAGGGCCGCCAGGTGTACACGCGCCTCCCGGCTGTACGTACACCCCGCAGAGGCGAGTCCCCGGTGTACGGGCACCTCCCGGGTGTACGTACACCCCGGAAAGGCGAATCTTGGGGTGTACGCGCAGCTCGCGAGGTGTACGTACACCCCGCAGGCGGGGCCCGGGTCTACGGGCACTTCCCGGGTGTACGTACACCCCGCGGAGGCGAGTCTCCGGGTCTACGGGCGCC